TTTATATTTATCACGACCACTTTCATCCTGCCAATTTATAACCATAGTCACTGAATCAGAATCATCTTTTTGAGGACATATAGGTTCATGACATGCTACTGATTGGTGTTTTCTCTGTAGGCAGCTTATCTCGGGCACTTGACCCTTCTGACTTGATCCTGACTCGGGGAACTTTGGATGAAGAGGATGACGAAGCCGACAGTGATACTGATGATATTGATCACAGAGGTGAGAGGTGGCTGAAGTGGCTCATGAAGAGAGTAGCTGCTCATCCCCATCATGTTTGCTCGGGAGCTGCTTATTCAGAGAAACCTTACACATGCAGCCAGTGATAGGGGAGAGAAGAGATGGCACTGGATATAGCAGCAGGAAAGAGTGCATGTATTGAGAGTTCCTGGCCTCTACTGAACGGTCAACATTGAGCTCATTATAGGCTTTTAATTAGTCTTGTGTCTTCTCATCTTTAGCTCGAAATCCATTTGAGAAATCTAGAATTTTTGTTTTCTGTAAATACTCTTTTAAGAATACGTAGGGGGTGAGGGGCAGCCTGGGTGGCTCAGCGGTTTAGCATCGCCTTCAGTCCAGGGTGTGATCCTGGAGAGCCGGGATCGAGTCCCGCATCGGCTCCCTGCATGGATCCTGCTTCTCCTTCTGCCTGGGTCTCTGCCTCTCTCTCTCTCTCTGTGTCTCTCATGAATAAATAAATAAAATCTTAAAAAAAAAAAAGAAGAATACTTAGGGCGTGAGGGGCAAGAATGCATAAGGTGGCCTCAGCAGGGTTCCACCTGGCATAGTTTATGGACTGTGATCAGAATCCGTTTCTTGAAACAACATTTGTCGGTTCTAGCTACGACCAAGAGCAAACCTCTCTTTGCCGTCCAGTATGCTGGATGCTAACATCTAAAATGGCTCATTGACTCAGACTTATTGAGGTATAATTTACAAACAGTAAAGCCCACCCTTTTTAAGGGTTTTTAGTTTGCTGAATTTTAACAAATATATGTGCATTAGTAACAGCCATCATACGTCAAGATACGGAATACTTCCACCACCCCCAAAAGCGCCTCATGCTTGTTTTTATTCAGTCCCCTTTCTGCACACTTAGTTTTTCGCAGTCACTAATCTGATTCCTATTCCTGTAATTTTGCTTTTTTCTAGAATGTTGTATAATTGGAATCGCAGTGTTTTAGCTTTTCGCGTTTGACTTTTTTCAGTCAGTGTAATGCTCTTGCAAGTCCATCCTTGTGTCAGAAGTATGTTCTTTTTACCGACGAATAATAATATGCCATGATATGGCTTTTACCATGAATGGTCTATCCATTCACCTGCTGATTGCCATTAGGGTTGTTTCCAGATTTTAGCTGTTATGAATAAAGCTGCTGTATATATTTCTCTTGGTTAAAAATACCTAGGAGTGGGACCTCATTTTAGTTACTTTATGAGGGGGGTATTCTCCCCACTTATAGATGGAAGGAATTGTACATTTTGGGCAACATGATAAATAGGGCATGCTTGTGGAAGATATTTCTTCTTTGGGAGAAGTAAACACTTAGCTTATTAGAAGCAGAGTACTGTTTCTGATGGATTAGTGACAGCAGCTCTAGTCTACCATTATCTGATACCTTTCTAATGGGAAAGTTAAGAATTGACCTTTTTTCCTTGCAGTTACAGAGGAAAGCCGTGAAGAGCCAGCATTCCAGAATTTTATGCAAGAATCAATGGCACAGTACTGGAAGAGAAACAACCAGTAGTTTCTAGAAGTCTGAAATTTTGGAACCCTGAAGGAACTATCCTAACCTCTGATGGGGGCTACTATAAAGGACAATTTTGTTCAGAGTAGCAGTGTTTCTCTTATAGGGAAATTTGACTCCTATGCAGCCAGGGATACAAGACCATTGGGCCTAACAGGCTTCACGTTTTATCATTTCAACTTAAGTACTTTTGCTGCTGATGGATGGAACAGAGAGAACTTACTATTCACCTCAAATCTCTATTAGGCTGGATCTGTACTCTACTCTCCCGTCTTGTCCTTGACCCTGTACCATGAATTCCCCTCCTTTTAGCAGAAAGGGCGAGAGGAATCATGAGCTTCCCCAGGGTGGCAGCAGTCTGCTTGGCAACCAATCAATGTTGGGTACAAAAGGTGCCTCACACGGGGTACCTCATTGTAGAATAACAGGTTCGTTGAAGAAGGTGAGCAAAACATAGGATTAATGAATAAGAATCCTGCTTTGGATGGTGACTTGGATAAAGAGTTTTAAATTTTAACTTTAAGTCTGCCTGTCATAATTTCAAATAATAGAATTATGTAATTGCAAGTAGGTTCGCTTCTATTCAACACAGAGGTTTAAAGCCACGTGTCCAAACCTGTCTCAGTAAAGAGGGGACGTTTACTAAAGTCTCTCTTGTAAACATACCAAGTAACTGGGTACAGAGCCAGGCACTGTTTGTATTCTACATTAACCTTAAGGAAAAGGATCTTTTGTAATTTACTCAAAGGCCATGGATTTGGGTCAGGTGCATATTCCATATATAAATAATAACCTTGGTAGGGTTTGCCCTGCCTCCACATTCTTCACAGTACACACAGTAAAACTGCGTTTCTCTCAGGAAAGTTTATCCCTGCCTAACCTGTACTCGAATTCAGTGGTTCTCAAGTGTGGTCATTGGATCAGAAGCATCGGCATGACCTGGGGAATTGTTAGAGACACAACACTCAAGATCTGAATGAAACTGTGGGTGTGGGACCTAGAAATCTGTTTTAATAAGTCCTTCAGAGGATTCCCATGTACATGAAGTTTGAGAACCACTGCCCTAACTACCATAGCCTGTGACAGTTCCAGGCCTTGAGAATCTCCAGTATCTCAAAACGACCTGCTATATCAGAGTACCTAACCTTAACCATCTGGTGCCTATTCTCCAATGTAAATATTCCAAAAAGTATTTTATTTTGCCATTAAGTATTAATTTCAGTGTTCCATACCTGTCGATTATAAGCCTGTATAGATCTATAGGTATCTATACTTAAGAGATATTAATTTCAATATTCTATATCTAGAAACCACTAGGCTAAAACTTTGAACCGTTCAAAAGGAAACCATCTGCAAAGCAAGACTGAACATACTTGGTTTTCCCCTTTTAGTGCCTTTGAATACTTCTTTAAAAAATAATTTGGAGGTGCCTGAGTCGCTCTGTTGGTTAAGCATCTGACTCGATTTCAACACAGGTCTTGGTCTCAGGGTCGTTAAGTTCAAGCCCCATGCTGGGTGTGGAGCTTACTTAAAAAAGAAAAAAAAAAAAAAAGGCCTATTCCTTAAAGCTCTACTTTATAAGGACAGAGAGAAAGTCTTCCTTATCTTTGTATACCTTGTACAGGAACCAATACATAATTGGTGTTCAGTAAGTGTTTGCCAACTGAATGAATTAAATGCTAGATGACTACTTTATGGAAACTGCCTGATGTCTGCTTTCATAAATAGGGAAAGATGAAGCTAGGTGTGGAATGGAAGTTTAGAGAATTGTGTTCAGGATTGTGCAATTAGCAAATTTATAAATTATCTGAGAGTTTACATTGTAATCTCATTGCGACTGCATTCGTCTTTTTTTTTAAGTTTTTATTAGAGAATGTGTGCGCTTGAGTGGGGAGAGGGGCAGAGAAAAACAGACTCGGGGATTGATCTCAGGACCCCAAGATCATGACCTGAGTCAAAGTGAGATGCTTAACAGCCTGAAAGCTACCTAGGTTACCCTGCATTCATCTTTGTTCTCAGTGCCTCTGACATTCAAGGCATTCAGGAATATGCTAATTAAAGCTGTGCCTTGATTTTGGTCATTTAAAAGAGTGTGCAGATTTCAAAAGACTGGTATTCTGCACCCAGAAAGCAAACTTGAGCAGTACTTAAATGCTGGTGCCCGCTATCAAGGCATAAAGCACACATTTGTTAATTACCGCTAATAATTCCAGTGCTAATCATTCACTTAATAAATAAATGACTGAGACCATCAGATGCCAAGCAGGGCTGATCCTGTGATGGGTAACAATGTAAGGTTGAAGACATGATGTAAAGGAAGAGAGATGTGTACCGCTAGCCTTTTAGCTGCCTAGCCAGCAGGAACACAGTGCAGATGCTGAATTCTGGTAAAGGGATGGACTACTGTCCTCTGACGGCCAAGTAGATGCAACAGATGTAACTAGCACCAGTCTGTCCTTGGACAGGTCCTGTTTGCTTCGTTCCCAATGCAGAAAATGAAGGAAACATACATGGTAAAATATTTTTAAAAATCTGAATGGAAATAAGAAAATGACAGAATAAGGGTAGATGGAGTGAAGTCTAACGAAGAAGAGGGGCACCTGGCTGGCTTAGGAAAGCATGTGACTCGAACCTGGGGTCGTGAGTTTGAGGGGTAAAGCTTAGTTGAACAAAAAAGAAACGATGCAGACGAGATGAGGGCTGTCCGAAGAAACACCACAGACCCCTGGTTTTGTGAGACATCATGCACAGCAAAAAGTGTTTCAGAAAGACTACTGATCGATAAAGGGGGATTAGCTATTTCCTGTTAGGTTTTAGTACCAGGTTCCCAATGATTTGGCCCCAAAGTGAAGCAAGTTCAGTGAAAACAGTGACATTTAACATCAGCATGTATTTACTTGTGAATCTCTTCAAGCATAGCTTTGAGGTTTGATAAGAATCTCAATCTGTACAATATCCCTGCAATATAGAGCCAAGCAGTAGGATTCTTCTCAGTTGTGCAAAGACAACAGTCAGGGACAGTGCTTTGGTCTCCCGGTTACCATCCCGGTATTGTGAAGTGTCTGTGAAAGGCGGCTTGGTTGTAGAAAACTACAAAAACTAGCTGTAAAAGTAAAACGCAAACCTAATTGGTTAAATTCAGCTCCAACGAAATCGGGAAAGTTCACTGTGTTTAAGAGTAAGAGTCACGTCACCTTTTATGGAAACAAATGTAATACATGAAGCTTGGAGAGAAAGTCTCCCCTTTACCTTTTATATTTTCCTCATCCTCTTCTTGCAGTGCTGGTTGAAAACAGGGGAGGACCCCATGAGGCTATCAGTGGAGTGGGAACCGTAGCTGCTGTCTGAGTCATCAGGACTCTGAGGGATCCCAGCTTCACTCATCCCGGACATGGGCTCCTCGAAGACATCACTGCCCAGCACGCCATGCCCAGACACATTGCCTTCTTCACTCTCTTGAGGCTCCATTTTCACATGGGCCAGATTCCAAAGAGGGGAAGCATTTACCTCTGTGCCTGGCAATGGAGGAAATACAACCAGTGGTAAGCCAAGGCTGGAACACAGCAGACAAATATTTCATCAGGGCAGATTCCTAGCCTTTGAGCTCAGTCTTCAGTCTGACTCTACTTGACTGGAGATTATGGTGGTCACCTTCTGTTCCTAAAACTACTAATTCTGAGTATTTTCTTTCTTTCTTTCTTTCTTTCTTTCTTTCTTTCTTTCTTTCTTTCTTTCTTCTTTCTTCTTCTTTCTTTCTTTCTTTCTTTCTTTTCTTTCTTTCTTTCTTTTTCTTTCTTTCTTTCTTTCTTTCTTTCTTTCTTTCTTTCTTTCTTTCTTTCTTTCTTCTTTCTTTCTTTTAAGTATTCTGAGTATTTTCCTTTCCACTTCTTCCACCCTACTTAAATCCCACCTCACCCACCAGCCATTTCCCTTAAATCAGGGAAGTAAAACTATGTAGGTGGAAAGATTCCCTGTCTCATGGCCCAAAGGCAGGCACAACCACAGGCTCTTAATCAGGTGCTGAGTTGCTTCTTTCCTTCCTTCCTTCTATAAGGCTGTCCTGTTTTCCTGCCTTTTGTTTGGGTCCCTGGTCCTCTCTCACAGTATGAAGTTAACGATTACTACAAAATGCTGGCAGCAGTTCCTAGGCTGCTGAAGAGTGTCATGGCTCCTAAATCTGTAACAATTTATCTTTGGCCCTCCTGTCTCTGTTCTAGCAAAGCTGTTCTATGGTCATTACCTCTTTCATGGTGAAACTCTCTGGCCAACACTAAAAAATGTGGCCTTGGGCGCCTGGGTGGCTGTTGGTTAAGTGTCTGACTTTGCTAGGTCATGATCTCAGGGTCCTGGGATCAAACTCAGCATCGGGCTCCCAGCTCAGTGGAGAGTCAGCTTCTCCCTCTGCCCCTCCTCCCACTTGTGTACATGTGTGCGCCCTCTCTCAAATAAAAGCTTAAAATGTTTTAAAAAATAACGTGGCCTGATTCTGTTTAGGATTTGTTACTTGTATCATTTGTGCATTGATGAAGTGACAATTTATATTTGAGTAGAACTGAGGATCGAAACTAATTTGCAATCTGACAGAAGGATCAAGTATCCTGGTTCCTAGGGTGATCACAGAGTCTGTCTGGAAAAGGCCAGCTGCGTCTGATTGGATAGCCCTATTTCAGTCCCTTTCCGGTCGAATCTTTTGGGGGTACTCTAGCAAGGAAGCCCAACTATTCAAACAGCCTTGAGCAATTAGCCTTCCTTCATCTGTGTGGAAGTTGTCTTACTGAGTACAAGCATCAGGAAAGACAAATACAGCACACTAAGTATGGGATGAAGGGGACATCTGCCCACCCAGCTGGGTCAGCTAAATTAGCTCCAGTACTCAACAATAGAACACCTATTGCATCTACACCCTAACTCGGAATTATTTTAAAGAATGCCTGTAAAGTTGTGCTAGTCCTCCCTTCACTAATTACAAAGAAGAATGTTGACATATCTAGATCAGTGAGGCTGTATTTGTTTTTAGGCTTTCCATTTTCTTGCCCACTCCCACTTTTTCCTCTCCTCTCCACAGTTTGATTCCAAAATGCCAGAAGTGCTGAGATTGGCAGATATCCCAGAATCACAGTCAATTGTTTTCTTACTTGAAGCCTGTGGTGAAGCCTCAACTTCCAGGTTAGATGGGAAGCGCTCACTCTGAGCCCCGAGGACTCCCATGGGCAGTGACTGGTCTCCAGAAGCAAGGTCAGCCTCCAGTTCCTCACTGACAGGGAATGTGATGTCGCTCACAGGTTCTTCCTTGATCTTTACAGGTTTAGTGTCCTCTGTGGCCTTCTCAGGGTTGACAATCCTTTCATACTCCTCAGATAGTTGCTTACTAATCTGTTGGCAAGCAAGAGTCAATCTTCCAAAGAAATGTTAAGAGCAAAGTGGATGGTTAGCTTGTGGCATCGCACGTAAAACCAACATAATATGAATATGAATAAAGCAACCACTGCCAAAGGAAAGAACTGGTTTTTTGTTTCATTGTTTTAAAAGAGATTTTTATTTACTTATTCATGAAAGACACACGCACAGAGAGGCAGAGACACAGGCAGAGGGAGAAGCAGGCGCCATGCAGGGAGCCCGACGCAGGACTCCATCCCGGGACCCCAGGATCACGTCCCGGGCCGAAGGCAGGTGCTAAACCGCTGAGCCACCCAGGGATCCCCTGATTTTTTGCGTTGTTTTGTTTTTTTACTTTTTTTGAGCACAGCAGACACATGGAAGGAATTTGTTTGTGGTGCTGAGTTTGCATTTGTAAATGAGAGAGACACAATGAAGAAAAGTTGTTTTAGCAGAGTTTCTCATTAATTAAAAGTTACATAAAGGTAAAAGAGACTTTGTTAAAGACAAATCAGAGTGGGGACAAAAGATCACATTTTTGGCTGTAAAAACTAATAGTTGAGATCTGTCCCCTAGGTGGATAATGAAGGGTATAGGAAATCTGGATCACTTAGCAAAGACTGTCAGGTGTTAAAAATCCCTATCGCATTTTAGATTTGGGGAAACCGAAACAATGAACAAATGACTTGCTTAAGGCCACAGGGTTTGAAGAGATTAGGTAGTTCTGGCTGCAACCAAAAATGGTATCTCTATCCCTTCTTCTGCCCTTGGGCAGTATCACTTCATTCTGTTTGGTTTTGCTTTTTATAGCACTTAACGCCACCTGAAATTGTTTTGATCACTATTTATTTACTTGTTTTTGTTTCTCTCTTTAAAAATGCATGCTCAAGGGACTTACCTTATTAACTGCTGCTGTCTCCTGTAGTGCCTGACTCACAAAAGGCACTCAATAAATATTTATTGAATAAAGCATGCTAACCACATTCTCTCAGACTCCATATTCCTGTCTGTAATGTTTTTCCAGCAGAAGTGTTATCAAAAAATGTGGCTGCTCATTGACTAAAGGAGGCCCCAGGGTCTGGCCAGGTCAGTGATGAAGTCAAGAAAACACAGCTAGGGCCATGAGGAGAGCAGGTCAAGTCCACTCTATTCCAAGCCCCTGTGCTCTGTTCCCTAGGGCAAGTATGGGGATCCTGCTGAACACCCCTAGATTACACCCAGCTCTCACAGGGTGACCTCACCTGTAGCATGTAACTGTGATAGTCCTTGATTCGGTGCTGCCAGAACTTCTGGAGGGAGAGCACACTGCCAATGCCCACTTCATGGAATACTTGCTCCATAACGTCAGGGAAAGGAGTCTGCCCCAGCCGGGCTTCCCGATCCACAGCGAAGCGCAGCAACTTGGTGAATTTAAGGCAATATTCATGTGCCACATCAGTAAGGGTCTCCAGGACACTTTCATTAGCACACTCAAAGCCTGCATGGGCCAGGATTGTGGCCACTGCCTGGTAGAGAAGCTGCCGGCAGGAGTGCCAGCTGAGTTCAGTCACCGGTTCCCCTTTCCCGCTGAAAGGGGAAATAACATGGCAGTGTTATTAATGCTCTTGCAAAGGGCTGACCCATCCTGTCTCCCTAGGAGTTTTACAATTTTAGTCAAACCACTGGCCCCGCTTTCTAGGGGAATCCTATGCAGTTACAGAGCCCGGTTTATCTTGCTGCTACACAGGGCATGTCTCAACAACCCACGATCATATCTCTGAGCTCCTCCAATTACATAAAAGTCTTAATAGACAATACATGTCTACAATAAACAATATAAAAGTATCAGGTGAATATGAAGTTTCCTTTTATCAACTGCTCAGTTTTGACTACTTTCAGGATGTAAAAAAGTTTATAGCTCAGGCACTGTTCAAGAGTGCTCTAATTATTTCACCACATAGCTTCCTCATACGCTGGATGATACACGGAGTTTCAGAAATTCAGTCCCAATTAGGAGATTCTTATACAACTACAACAGACCATTTGTAAAACTGGACAAGCAACTCAATTTCATAAAAGCGATTTAAAATGTATACAGTTTACAAAGCATTTTTATCCTATCCTGTGCAAAGTGGGTAGTAGATCCATATTATGATTCCCATTTGGCTGCAGGTTTCAGAGGTTGAGGTTCAGAGGTGCGGACCTGCCGGAAGTTGTTTCGATATTATCGGAAGGTGGAGCTTCTGATTTCAGATCCCATGTTCTTCATAATACACCATTTTACTCCTAATCACTGCTGTAGAAATCTTAATCTAAGAAATAACTTCAAAAAGGTCTCTGACCTCCTAAAAATAACTTTTAACAAATTTCTCATCATTTACCTGTCTCCTGAAATTCCTATCTTCTGCCTCCCTCTGACAAATAAGTAAATGGATAAAATCAGGTATAGAAAATTTCTTGGGCAGCCCAGGTGGCTCAGCAGTTTAGTGCCGCCTTCAGCCCAGCGCCTGAGCCTGGGGACCCGGGATCGAGTCCCACGTCGGGCTCCCTGCATGGAGTCTGCTTCCCCCTCTGCCTGTGTCTCTGCCTCTCTCTGTCTCTCTGTGCATGTCTCTCATGAATAAATAAATAAAACCTTTAAAAAAAATTTCTTAAAAAAAAAATTTCTTTTCTCTGGTCCATACTTGGCATGTGTCACTATGTGCTGTACAAGAGGGCTAGAGGAGCTTTGTACCCACTTTACTATTATCTGCTCAGAAGCAATTACTGCAGTCCACATAATAGTTGGAAAGCAAGAAAACCAACTGCCAAATAACTTTTCAAAGATTATTTATTTGAGAGTGTGTGCGAGCAAGTGGGGGGTGGGGGGGAGCAGAAGGGGAGGGAGAAAGAACCTTAAGCAGGCTCTGCACTAAGTAGGGAGCCCAACATGGGGCTCATCTCAAAACCCTGAGATCATGACCTGAGCTGAAACCAAGGGTCAGACACTTAACTGACTGAGCCACCCAGGTGCCCCCCAAATAACTGTTCATTTACTATTTCCACCATCATTTCCTATGGCCAGTCTCCAACGCCAAAAGGGCCAAAAGCAAAAGGCCTCAGAAATGCCCAATAAAAACAGCCAAACCAGTATTGCTTTGAGTAACACATGGACTTACTTCAAAGGAAGATAATTCTTTCAGCACCCCATAGCTGACGCAAATTATTTTTGCTAAACGTTTCTTAAATATGTATAAAACAAACTAGTATAAACTTCTGATGTTAACAGCTCTTCTTAATTAAAATTAGAAGTTTGAGATTGGAAGAACAAACACGGTTGAAATAACTATACTACCCAAAGCAATCTACGCACTTAATGCAATCCCCATCAAAATACCACATGCGTTTTTTCACAGAGCTAGAGCAGGGGTGCCTGGGTGGCCCAGCGGGTTAAACATCTGCCTTCAGCTCAGGTCATGATCCTGGGGTCCTGGGATCAAGTTCCTACATCAGGCTCTGCTCAGCTGGGAGCCTGCTTGTCCCTCCCCCTCTGCCCCAAGCTCCCCTTGGTCATGCTCTCTCTCTCATTCTCTGTCAAGTAAATAAATAAAATCTCGAAAGAAAAGAAAAAGAACAAACAATCCTAAAATTTGTATGGAAACACAAAAGACTTCAGATAGCCAAAGCAAGCTTAAAAAAGAAAAGCAAAGCTGGAGGAATCACAATTCCAGACTTTGAGTTATATTACAAAGCTGTAGTGATCAAGACAGTATTGTGCTGGCACAAAAAATGGATGCATAGATCAACAGAATAGAAAACCCAGAAACGGACCCACAACTATGATCAGCTAAACTTGGACAAAGCAGGAAAGAATATCCATTGGAAAAGAGGCAGTCTCTTCAACAAACGGTGTTGGGAAAACTGGACAACAATATGCAAAAGAAGGAAACTGGACCACATTCTTACACCATACACAGAAATAGATTCAACATGGATGAAAGACCTAAATGTGAGACAGGAAACCATCAAAATCCCAGAGAAGAACACAGGCAGCAACTTCTTCGACAGTGGCCATAGCAACTTCTTATTAGATATATCCCCTGAGGCAAGGGAAACAAAATAAAAAATAAACCACTGGGACTTCATCAAGTTAAAAAGCTTCTTCACTGTGGAGGAAACAACCAAACTAAAAGGCAGTCTTTGGAATGGGAGACGATATTTGCAAATGATATATCCGATAAAGGGTTAGTATCCATCCGAAATCTATAAAGGACTTCTAAAACTCAACACCCAAAAACCCAAATAATTCAGTTAAAAAATGGACAGGAGACATGAATAGACATTTTTCCAAAGAAGACATACAGATAGCTAACAAACACGTGAAAAGATGCTCAACATCACTCATCATCAGGGAAATACAAATCAAAACTACAATGAGATACAGATCACACCTGCCAGAGTGGCTAAAATTAACAACACAGGAAACATGGTGGAGACATGTGAAGAAAGGGGAACCCTCTTACACTGTTGGTGGGAATATAAACTGGCGCAGCCACTCTGGAAACACAATGGAGATTCCTCAGAAAGCTAGAAAGAGAATTGCCTTACAATTGTGCTACTAGGTATTTACCCAAAGAATGCAAAAATGTTGATTCGAAGGGATACATGCACCTCCATGTTTACAGCAACATTATCAATAATAGCCAAATTACTGAAAGAGCCAAATGTCCAATGACTGACAAATGGATAAAGAAGATGTGATATATATTTACATATGTACGTATATACACACAGTGGAATATTAGCCATAAAAATGAATGAAATCTTGCCTTTGCAATGGCATGGATTGAACTAGAGAGTATTTTGCTAAGTGAAATAAGTCAGAGAAAGACAAATACCATATTTCACTCATATGTGGAATTTAAGAAACCTAACAGATGAACACAGGGGAAAAAAAGGAAAGAGGCAAAGCATAAAACAGACTCTTAACTATAGAGAAGAAACTGTTGCTGAAGGGGAAGCAGGCGAAGGGATGAGTTAAACAGACGACGGGTATTAAGGAGGACACTTGTGATGAGCAGTGGGTATTGAATGTTAAGTGATGAATCACTAAATCCTACACCTAAAACTAACATTACACTGTATGTTAACTGGAATTTAAATAAAAACTTGAAAAAAAATTAGAAGGTTTGATGCAAAACTACAAAATTCTAAATAACAGCATCAATTTAAATATGATGGCAATATTCTTAAACCTAAATTGCCTTCAAAATGTAAATATGGTACTGATCACTACAGAGCAAGTTTTGTGAAGCTGTATCTATATGAACATGTGAGATGCATGTAATGATAGTTACCCCTACCTTTTTCACTATTCCAAGGACTTCAGAACCTTCAATTATACAGTGTGCAGCAGGACATCATTTGGTCAACTGGAACTGCAACCCTTACATAGTAATAAGTCCATTTCTGTTCTTTTCTCACTACTTTGGGACAATTAAAATAGTAGTAACTATTATCAATAACAGATGAAATTAAGTGGTATACATATTACTTACTATATTTTTTCCAAATATATTTAACCTTCAATCTAATCTTGAGGAAATAATCAGCAAATCCAGTGAGTGGGACATTCTACATCTAAATGACCTGAACTCTTAAAGATTAGTATCCTGCGTTTTAAAAAAGGGGGAAGCTCTCTCCTTTCCGCCGCCATCCTGGTTGCGTGTCGTTGACTGTGATCGCCATGTCTTCTCACAAGACTTTCAGAATCAAGCGATTCCTGGCCAAGAAACAAAAGCAGAATCGTCCTATTCCCCAGTGGATTCGGATGAAAACTGGTAATAAAATCAGGTCCAACTCCAAGAGGAGACACTGGAGAAGAACCAAGCTGGGTCTGTGAGGAAGCATCGCACATCATGAAATAGCAAACATAATTGGTACACATATTTAAGCCACATGGAGATCACATGTTCCTATCCTATCAATATGGAAACATCCTTCCTACCTGGCCAATAGACATGTCTTATCAAGGGAATGATTTTCTCTGTTACTATGCCTCTATACCAGTAGGTTGGTTCAGTAATAAATGTGAGACCTTTCAGCTGAGCTGCTGTTGTGTCCTGATTTGTGAAGTACTGAATTCCCCCTCCTGTCAGATCTCACATAGCACCGTCTGATAGAACTTTCTGCAGTGATAGAAATGGCCCTTGACAACGAAGTATTTAAAGTGTGGCTAGGGGATGCCTGTGTGGCTCTGTCTGCTAAGCGTCTGCCTTTGGCTCAGGTCTTGACGGGGAGTCAGCATGTCTCCCTCTCTCTGCTCCTCCCCCTGCTCATGTGCTTTCTCTCAAATAAAATCTTTAAAAAAAAAAAGGGGGGGGGAAGCTATTCTTTTAAAAAAAAAAGATTTTTTTTTTATTAATGAGAGACACAGAGAGAGAGGCAGAGACACAGGCAGAGGGAGAAGCAGGCTCCATGTAGGGAGCCTGATGCCGGATTGGACTCGATCCAGGGTCTCCAGGATCACGCCCTGGGCTGAAGGCGGTGCTAAACCGCTGAGCCACCCAGGCTGCCCAGGAAGCTCTTCTGGTTTAAAATTCATTAAATAGGAGCGCCTGGGTGGCCCAGTTGGTTGAGTGTTTCACTCGTGGTTTCAGCTCAGGTCATCATCTCAGGATCTCAGGAAGGAGCTCCAAGTCAGGCTCTGCACTCAGCAGGCAGTCTGTTCTGGGATTCTCTCCCCCACTTCCTCTGCCCTTCCCCTGCTCACACGCTTTCTCCAACAAAAACGAAAACAAAAACAAGACACTAAACAGCTAAATGAAATTCATTTTTAGGTTCTGGATTAGGGGAAAATCTATTTATAAAGGATATTTTGGAGAAATCGGAATACAGAATTAATAATTGATATTATTTAATTAGTGTTCATTTATTTTGGTGTGATATTGGTATTGGGGTTATGTAGGAAATTTTCTTTATTCTTAGGTTAAAGTGAACAACTTAGGGGTGGAAGAATACTTAAGAATTAAGGGGTGAAATACTGAGATGTGTGCAACTTTAAAATATTTGGCAAGGCCTGTACGTGTGTATATTTACAATTGTTATGCATTTATTTACGTGTGTATGTGTGTGTATACATGCTTATACAAATGTGAGAGAAAATAGATGTGGCAAAATGTCAACAATTGGTGAATCCTGGTAAAGAGTATTTAGCCATTTCTTGTACTATTATTTAAAATTTTCTTTGGTCTGACAAATTTCAAAATGAAAAATAATTTTTTGGCCCCAGATGCAAACTTACACACTGAAATGCAGTAGTAGCATTATATCATAAAGCAGTCGTTTAGAGGATATGGAGCAGGGCTTCTCAAACTTAAATACACATATGAATCTTCTGGAGATCTTGTTAAAATGAAGAATTTTTTTTTTAAAAGATTTTATTTATTTATTCATGAGAGACAAAGAGAGAGGCAGAGACAAAAGCAGAGGGAGAAGCAGGGCTCCCTCTGGGGAGCCCAATGTGGGACTCGATCCCAGGACCCCGGGATTATTACCTGAGCAAAAGCAGATGCTCAACCACTGAGCCACCCAGACGTCCCTAAAATGAAGATTCTGATTCAGGAGGCTGGGTAGGGCCTGAGACTCTGAATTCGTAATAGATTCCCAGGTGATGTTGATGCTCGTAGTCTGAGACCAGATTTTGAGTAGCAAGGATCAAGAACATTTTTATATTACTTCTAAAGTGATGTTATCACAATGAAAATATAGCTGGACCCTTGAACAACATAGGGGTTAGGGGCACCAACTCCCTGTGCAGTTGAAAATCCACAAACAGCTCTGACTCCCCAAAACTTAATGATTAACAGCCAACTTTTTTTAAAAGCCTATTTTACCTTATTTTTTTAGTAATCTCTATACTCGATATGGAGCTTGAACTCATGACCCCGAGATCAAGATTTCACGTGCTCTTCTGTCTGAAACAGCCCGGCACCCCAATGATTTATACTAGCCTACTATTGACTGGAAGCCTTAGCGATAATATATAAAGTTGATTAACACTTCTTTTGTATGTTTATATGTATTATATACTGTATTCTTACAATAAGTCAGCTAGAAAAAAGAAAATCGTAAGGAAAATCCATTTCTAGTACTGTACTGTAAAAACATCCACATATAAGTGGACCCACACAATTTAAACTCATGTTGTTCAAGGGTCAACTGTACACAACTTAAAAATTCTTGTATAGAACTTATGGATTCCTCATAATATGAGAGTAAATCCATGAATCTCAACTTGAGGATACTAACCTAAACCCATAATATACATTTTAAATCAAACAGAAAGACTAAACTCTGAGGACTGAGGCCATGGCTTCTTTAACATACTAGTGCAGTATCTTGCTCCTAGTAAAATGTTTGGCATGTAATAGGCACTCAATAAATATTTGTTACCTCAAAAGTAAAAGATACAGACTGTGGATTTGGAAGATCAGGATTCAAGTCTTAGACTTCCTTCCAATTACCTGAGCAACTTTGGCCATGTCGATTACTCTTATACTCAGTTTCCTCATGGAATTAGGACTGCATGCTTAACAGTGCTGTTGTGAAGACTTTTTGGAAAAAAAAAAAAAAAAAAAACAGCAAAGCCTTGTCTTACCGATAAAAGTCACTCTCTGGGTCACTGTGCCGGATCTGGAATGGTGCATTGGGATTCTTACAATCTATAGGCAGGAGGTCATCAGGAAGAGGAGGTGACCCAGGGCAAGAGGGAAGAGGTTCACTCTCTTCGGTCTTTACACCTTCTGTCTGTTGCTGACTCTGGGCCTGAGCTGTGGCAATGAGATTGCGCAGACGTCGGTTGTGCTGGATCAGCTGAATAGTATGGATGGTGAGGCTGCATGGCTCTGAGGGGATGTCCAACATTGTAGGGGGCTTGGGCTTGTTGGCTGAGGGCTGGTGCAGTGGTGGGTCATGGACTTCCACTAGACGGAACTCCCGTGGGAGCAAATCAAAAGAACTTCTGTTGGTCTGGCTTGATGAGATGGGTATCTCTCCCCAGTATCTCAACATTTTGGAATAAGAAAGGAAGAACCTTCTAGATAAATGTAGTAGTGACCTAAAAGCAGTGTTTTTAAATCTCTAGGTTACAGGCTTCTATAGTAAAAAAAAAAAAAAAAAAAAAAAAAAAGTGAAGTCTAGCCAGTTATTTACATAGAAAGTAGGCTGTTCAAGACCACTCAGAAAATGTCAATGTCAGCAACACTGTAGGACCAAAGATGTTCTCCCTGAAGAAATTAAGAGAAATATAACTGTTAGATGCCATTCATCACAGTCACATACAATGACAATTCCTACTGGACTGAACCACGGGTGGAATTTGGGTCATTAGTAGACTAAAAGCTGCAATGGTATTGGGAGGGCTAGCGTCCATGTTTTCAATATTACCCCACTAACTCATTACGAGAACTACCATCATGCTCAATCCTGAACAATCTGCAAGGCAAGATCCTCAAATGAGACCTGGAGTATTTCTCAGGGTATCTCGACACATCCGTCCTGAATCAGTAGGAGAAAGGGGTGGGGTGGGGGGTAGAGTTAAAGATAGGAAGAGGGGGTTCTTACTATGTGTGTCAAACACAGGCAACCTTTTCCCTGGTCCCGATGAAAAAATCTATTGACCAGTAATCTAAATGGCCTTACGCATTCAACCTCTGACATATATACAGAAGAATCTCAGTGATTTCTGCTGCCTCCTAATTGGTATCCCTTACTTCAGTATCTCCCCGTATGTAATCTATGCTCCAGTGCTGCTAGACTTCATCTTTTTAAAACTCACATCTAACAACTTCTCTTTGCTTACTGGAAAAAGTCAGCCAGGAGTCTTGGAGCTACCATTCATCAAAATCTGCAATCTGACTTAACCCACCTTTCCGGATTCGTTGCCCATATGTCTCTTCAAGTTCAACAAACGTTTATCAAGTGCCAGGCGTTATGGAAGAAGACAAACACCACTGCAAGATCCCTGACCTGAGGTGAGGGAGAGAAATATAGAAACAGAACATTTCAATGAAAGTGTATGGTAAGGGCTGTTCTAGAGACACAGACCTGGTGCAGTGGAAGCACAAAGAAGGAGCTTCCTGGAGGAAATTTCCACCCTGGTTCTAACCGTATCATTACTATTCAGTTTCTTGAGCATGTCATGTATTTCCAGTTGACCCTTTAAGTTGTGATCTCTGCCAGAAATGCCCCTCCACGCACTACATCCCTGGCAGACTTGCATTCGATTTAAGTATAGTTGAGGTCACCAGTCTCCATCACCTCCCCAGGAAATCTCCCTTCCTTATATTCTCACAGCACTTCTCATGCCTTCACCACAGCATTTATACCTGGATTGAAACTAAGACTTATCTCAGTCGAGTTTATCCTTCCATCTACCCCCATGATCTTTGTACAGTGTCTGGCGCACAGTATATTTGGCATTTATTGAGTGCTTACCATGTGCCAGGCTTTGTCTTTACTGTTTCATTCAATCTCCACATCTATCCCATTTTTCAGAGGCGGAAGCTGAGGCCCGCCGTCTTGCCCAACGTCACAAATGACGGAGGGAGAAAATCAAGACAGGCTCCAGAGTCTGCGCTCCTCACCACTACACTATGCAGTCTCAATAACTGGCTTCCGAAAAAACGAAATGAACAAAGAATTGGATCAACGAAGGGACCAAACAGAACAAAATAAAACCTCAATTTCACCGAAAAGAACACGAAGAATAAGTTCACAGAAAGCCCCGGTCCTCGGCAGCTCCCCGTCAGCGTGAGGAGGCGCAAGGGCCTGGAGTCATTGATGCCGGGGCGGCTGGGAGACGAGGAGGTCTGGGCCTAGACCGTGGCACGGAAGCGCGACCATTCACTGCCGCGTCACGGGAGTTGGGCTGGAAGACTGCATGACTCGGAAAGGCCTGGGGCGAGGGTCGCCAGGCCCGCGAAAGCGGGCTAGGTGATGGGTGGTCCTCGGCGGTCGGAAGCGCTTCTTCTCACGCAGGATATGCCACAGGAAGCTATTACGACAGGTTGCACCCTCTAAAGATGTCCCCATTTTCACAGCACCTCGGTCTCCTTTAACTGTTTTTTCCTTCCCGTGATGTTGCCCTCTTCGTAACGTTGTGTGTGGGTGGTGAAGGAGCAACTCCGCCATCGCTGCCCAGAGAAGCCGCTGGGAGCTGAGAGAGAGGAGAGAGAGAGAGAGAGAGAGAGAGAGAGAGAGAGAGAGAGAGAGAGAGAGGAGAGGGAGAGGAGAGAGAGAGAGAGAGAGAGAGAGAGAGAGAGAGAGAGAGAGAGAGGAGAGAGGAACTTAGAGACTGCGGGGGGCAGGTTTCCCAGGAACAGATTTTGAGAGTGCACCCGCCCGAGGATGGCTGATAGTCCCTCTCAGTCCGAGTCGCTGGCTTTGCCGGAGCTCAGTGATGACTTCAAGAAACCAACCCTGCCGGTGCCCCCGGTTGTGCGGGGCAAAGCTCCGGCCACCAGTCCTTCGAACCCTGAGGAGGTGAAGAAGGAAAGGCCCACGGCGCTGCCAGAGCCCGACCCCGGGGAGCCCGACGTCCCGCCAGTCCAGCCCGACAGCGGGGACACCAGGAGTCCACCGACCGAGCAGCCGCGGCCCCCCTCAGCGGCTCCTTCAGCTGGCGGCCCGGCCCGGGCTCCCCCTTACCGGGAGCCGCGGTGGGGCGGCCCCGCCTCGGCCCCCTACAGCCTAGAGACGCTCAAGGGCGGCACCATCCTTGGCACCCGTAGCTTGAAAGGGACGAGTTGCTGCCTCTTCGGGAGGCTGTCTAGCTGCGACGTGTGCCTGGAGCACCCTTCGGTGTCCCGGTACCACGCCGTGCTGCAGCACAGGGCGGCCGGCCTCGAAGGAGAATGCGACGGCCAAGGGCCGGGCTTCTACCTTTACGATCTGGGAAGCACCCACGGCACTTTTCTTAACAAAACCCGCATCCCACCGCGCACCTATCGTCGCGTCCACGTCGGGCACGTCCTTCGCTTTGGAGGCAGCACCCGGCTCTTTCTTCTTCAGGTAAGTAGAACAAGGTAATGCTGAAATCTCTGGAGTGCACCGGGCTGGGTTCCAGAGTTGCTTACGCTTTCTGTGAAGAAGGAGGTTCTCCCCGTCCCCGAGGACAAAGTGGGGGAATCTGGCTCCTCTGCAGACACGTGTCCCCGTTGCCATATTTCTGAAAGTGACTCCAACACTCCTGAACTCTGAAAGAATTCTTTCGCTTGGTTCATCAGGGACCAGAGGAAGACCGAGAGGCAGAATCCGAGCTGACGGTAACGCAACTGAAGGAATTGCGCAAGCAGCAGCAAATGATGTTGGAGAAGAAGATGTTAGGAGAAGACTCGGATGAGGAAGAAGTGGACACCACCGAAAGGAAGAGAAATACTAGTAGTCAAGATGATGAAATGGGCTGTACCTGGGGAATGGGTAAGAGATTAAAATTGCTGCCAGAACTTAATATTGTAAATTCATTACAAGTGGTATGTATATAGAGCACTGATCTTGATTATCATCACTGGAGGGGCTGGAACTACATTCAATCAAAAACCATGGAATGTTCAGTGTAGGATAGTGCCTCATTTTTTTTCGTACTTTATGTGTGTAAATTCCCTGAAATGTGAAATAGCTGATCAGAGAAAGCTTGTCCCTTGGCCAGAAGAATAAATGGAATTTTCTATAATGCCAGGCAGTTTGGAGGATGGGTATTCAGGAACTAGGAATATAAAAAGAAGATCATCTTAATGTATTGTTGGGAAGATTGGATAAATGTGATGAAATTACTTCGTAAGTGTAAAACAATAGCTAGAAACCCTAAGTATGCTGAAGTAAGGGTTTAGAGAAGGGAGTAATCACTGAGGACTTAGACGTGCACTGTCCAATATAGTAGCCATTACCCATATGTGGTTATTGGACACTTAAAGTGTGACTAGTCCAAACTGACTTGTACTATAAACCTAAAATACACACTAGATTTAAAGGCTTACTGTGAAAAAATAATGTAAAATATTCATAATATTTTCATATATTTTTAAAGATTTTATTTATTCATTCATGAGAGACACAGGGAGAGAGGCAGAGACACAGGCAGAGGGAGAAGCAGGCTCCACGCAAGGAGTCCGACGTGGGACTCGATCCCGGGACTCCAGGATATCACCCTGGGCTGAAGGCAGGGGCCAAACCGCTGAGCCACCCAGGGATCCCCCAATATTTTCATATTGATTACATGTAATAATTTTACCTGATCCCCCCCCCTTTTTTTTTTTAAAGATTTTATTTATTTATTCACTAGAGACACACACACGCACACAGAGAGAGAGAGGCAGAGGCACAGGTAGAGAGAGAAGCAGGCTCCATGCACGGAGCCCGACACAGGATCCAACCCCGGGGCCCCAGGACCTCGCCCGGGGCTGAAGGCGGCACCAAACCGCTGAGCCACCCAGGCTGCCCTGATTCCCCTTTTTAATGTGGCTACTAGAAAATAAAAGTTTTTTAAAGATTGTATTTATTTAGAGAGAGAACAGGTGTGAGCTGGGGGAGGGGCAGAGGCAGAGCGAGAGAGGGAGAAGAAGAAACAGTATCTCAAGCAGACTCTGCACTGAGTGTGGAACCGGACAAAGGGCTCAACCCTGTGGTTTGCAACCCTGAGATCATGATCTGAGCTGAAATCAAGTGTTGGATCCTTAACCACCTGAGCTACTCAGGCACCCTGAAGATAAAAAATTGCATGTATGGCTTTCATTGCTGTTGGGCAACACAGACTTAAAATTTGAGAATGTTTTTAAGTTTACAAACAGATGTGTCTTGAGCTGGAACTTGAAGGAAAGGAAAATTAGCCCCTAGGAAGCTTAGTATTGAGGATCGTTTTCAGGGCAGAGATTATGATTTTTTTTTTTAAAAGATTTTTGTGTTTTTATTTGACACAGAGAAAGAGAGAATGAGAGAGAGATGCACAAGCCGGGGGAGTGGCAGGCAGAGGGAGAGGGAGAAGCCGACTCCCCGCTGAGCAGGGTCCTGACTCAATCCCAGGACCCTGGGATCATGACCTGAGCTGAAGGCAGAAGGTTAACCGACTGAGCCACACAGGCCCCCGGGATTGATGATTTTAACTGAGTAATGAGTAGACCAGTCTATTTGGCAGATATGGTAAATATTAATAAATTATAATGGATACAGAGTATTAGACCCAGGTGTTAGCAGGAATACCAGAGCAAGAAGCTTAGGTTTTTTCCCATGGAAAATGTGGTAGGTAATTTTGTTTTTAAAATATAGTGATGGAGGGCAGCCCGGGTGGCTCAGTGGTTTAGTGACGCCTTCAGCCCAGGGCGTGATCCTGGAGATCCGGGATCGAGTCCCACATCAGGCTCCCTGCATGGAGCCTGCTTCTCCCTCTGCCTGTGTCTCTGCCTCTTTCTCTCTCTCTCTGTGTCTCTCATGAATAAATAAATAAAATGTTAAAAAAAAAAAAGACTTCGTTTTAAAAATTAAAAAAAAAAATATAGTGATGGAGAAAAAAAAATAAGATGCCATGAAAGCAAGTTTTAATTTGTCCCACAATTTAGAAAAACTAAAGATATTTATACTAGTGGTTTTGTGTTTGCCCCCTTCTCCCCGACCCCTCACCTTTCTTTTCATTGATAACTGTATGTTTGTGCAGGCTGAATGGAAAGTGGGTGTCATTGAGATAGTCTCTTCTTATGTCTGTCTGTTCTTTCCCATGTCCTGTAGGAGAAGATGCTGTAGAAGATGAGGCTGAAGAGAACCCCATTGTGTTAGAGTTTCAGCAGGAAAGGGAGGCCTTTTATATAAAGGATCCAAAAAAGGCTCTCCAAGGTTTTTTTGACCGAGAAGGTATGTAAACAGATTCTGACCCTGCCGGTAAAAGGTATCCATTGCGGTGTTGTTTTATAGATCTTCAGGGTACTTAGAAATGCTGTATTTTATCTGCTGTTCTGCTGTTCCCCTTAATCAGTTCTTGCCCTATGGTCGATCGCTTCAGGTTTATTTTGAAAATAGTAAAAGTCTTGTTAGTTCTTCCCATCTTGGAAAAAGAGACTACCTTTTTTTTTTTTTGACTTGTCCCATTGTCTCAAAAGATCTTAGACTTGGGTGGTGGGGAGATTGTCCTAACGTCTTAAATTTTTTTGTTTCTAATTCATCTGCTCTTTTATAATCCTTAACATGAATGTTCACTTTATATGATGTAAGGGATGTTTCCACAGAGGATTGTTTCAGGAGTGATGCTTGAGAGAATATCTGTGTGTGTTTATGAATATGTATGTGAACTGGATACATTCTGCACTTAATATTTATGCTTCTAAAAACCAGGCAGTTATGACAAATTAACTACCTCTACAACTTAAATAAGTGTGAAAGCTGCTATATAGTGGATAAAGCCATTTTGGGGGAGTTTTGATCTGTTTGCTTTTCTTTTTTTTTTTTTAAGATTTTATTTTTTTTATTTGAGAGAGATAGAAATAGCAAGAGAGAGCACGAGCAGATGAGAGAGGGAGAAGCAAGCTCCTGCTGAGCAGGGAGCCCGACATGGGGCTAGATCCCAAGACCCTAAGATCATGACCTGAGCTGAAGGCAGATGCTTAACCAACTGGGCCACCAAGGCACCCCGATCTGAGTTTGCTTTTCTTTGCCTCAAGCTCATCCTAATTTTTAAAAAATATTTATTTATTTTAGAGAAAGAGAGCAAGTAGGGGGAGGGGCAGAGGGAGAGAGATTCCTGAAGCAGACTCCCTGCTGAGTGTGGAGCCTAATGCAGGGCTCTATCCCAGACCCTGAGATCATGACCTGAGCTGAAATCAAGAGCTGGCCCCTTAACTGACTGAGCCAGCCACGCAGGGTCCCCAAGTTCATCTTAATTTTATTATTTAATGATAATCCCTAGGAATAAGAAGTGAAATGCTTTGAAATTTAGTATTCGGTGTGGCATGGGAATTTGATATTCTTATTTAACCCTTCCTCTCTTTTCCCTTTGTCTCAACTAATAGTTTTCAGATGTTATTAAAATTGTTTTGCCTTTCTTCCTCCCACAGGAGAAGAATTAGAATATGAATTTGATGAACAGGGGCATAGCACTTGGCTCTGCAGGGTGAGGTATGTTCTTTTCTCATTAATGTCCATTTCTGAAAGTGGCCAATTTCAGGTTGTAGACAACAAACCCAAAGAGTAACTTTAGTCTTATTTTTAGGGTATACCTGAATTTGGGCTTTGATAATTTGGCAGATGGGGTGGGATGGGTCAGAGGTATGAGGAAAAGATTTGAAGTCCAACCTTGGCAAGATAGAACAAGATGAATGAGAGATTATAAAAGCATGTCAAAAAATGACTATTATCACAGCATATTAGTTTTTTTGTTGAAAATTAGAGCTTAGTGTTGTGCTGTGATTCCCTCCAAACCAATATAGATTACCTGTGGATGATTCAACTGGAAAACAACTGGTAGCTGAGGCCATTCATTCAGGAAAGAAAAAAGAAGCAATGATCCAATGTTCACTGGAAGCTTGTCGAATCCTTGATACTTTGGGATTGCTGCGGCAGGAGGCAGGTATGTGGAAGACATTTTTTTCTTTAAAAGAAAGAAAGCAGAGGAGACAGAGAGGGAGGGAGAAGGAGGAAGAGAGGGGGAAAGAGATAGAGATGGACATAGACAAAGAAAAAGAAAGAGAAAAGGAAGGAAAATTTAACACAAGGCAATAAAATATCTTTCAGGGGAAGGTGTAAACTGTATAGAATTCTGTAGTGAAAAGAAAAGATTCCATATCTCAGTATTCAAAGGAAGCCATTGTATATATTCTCCTAGACATTTTTTTATGGGTATAGATGTATGTTCAGAATTAGGTCCTTTAGGGGGAATCCCTGGGTGGCTCAGCGGTTTGGCGCCTGCCTTTGGCCCAGGGCGCGATCCTGGAGTCCTGGGATTGAGTCCTGCCTTGGGCTCCCGCCATGGAGCCTGCTTCTCCCTCTGCCTGTGTGTCTACCTCTCTCTCTCCCTATGTCTATCATGAATAAATAAATAAAATCTTAAAAAAAAAATTAGGTCCTTTAATAAAAGCAAGCACTGGACAGCCCGGGCAGCTTAGTGGTTTGGTGCCACCTTCAGCCCAGGGTGGGATCTTGGAGACCCGGGATGGAGTCCCACATTGGGCTCCCTGCATGGAGCCTGCTTCTCTCACTACCTGTGTCTCTGCCTCTCACTCTCTCTCTCTGTGTCTCTCATGAATAAATAAATAAAACATTAAAAAAAAATAAGACTACCAATGACTCATAACAAAATACACCTGTTCCTTGCCCTGCCCCTCCTCAGTCTTCAACTTTAGAAGGCTTTTTAACTCTTTCAGTTATTCCTTTTGGCATTTAAAAATATCCATATTTCTAAAAAGGAAGAGTGTGCTGCTTTATTTTGAGTCATTTATTTTAAACATCTACTGACTCTGTTATATTAGTAGTTAGTATTTACATGATTATGTTTATGCAAATATTAGTCATAACTCAGCAGTTTTTTCTTTTGTTTTTCCTAAAGTTAATAATTATGTTTGTTTTTTATGTATTTGGATTTTATAGCTCTTAATCATTCTTCCCACACCTTTCAATAACCTTTAAATAAATTTTCCCACATCGTCAATCACATTAAATAATTGATCAGTTCTGACTTTTTTGGAAACATTCCTCCTAAAGAGCACTATTTTTTTTAGGACTTAGTGCTCTCTGAGTTGCTACAGGACTGTCAACTGGACCTTACTTTGCTGTTATCCTTGAGATTTCCTTTGTCTTTTTTCAGGGTTAGATTTTCTGTTTCTTGATTCCTAGATTCTCATGTTTCTTGTTGTATTCCTTGTTTTATTGGAGTATTTCTTTCTATAGTTTTAGCAGATTAAAAAGCTGGTACTACAGTAATGGGCATGGATGATTATAGTCTTCAGTGGATTTCACATCTTTCATTTTTCTTGATCTACTCTCATTTTGGTGGAAATCCTCTAGTGGATTCCTCAGAAAGGATGGATAGCAAGTAAACTTTATTAAATTCTCCATTCTGAAAATATAACTATTTTAGCTTTACTCTTAATACTGTTCAGAAACATTTCTGAAATTAGCCATTAGTCATTTAATCCCTCTGTTTTCTCTTTCTCTCTGGAATTTTGTTATTAGATATTGAATATCTTAGACTGACCATATAAGTTTTCTTTTTCTTTGCTTTGTTATCTCAATGTCTTTTTGTTCTTTCTGGGAAATTTCTGCAGCTTTATCTTTCTATCTCTAGTTTGCTATCAAGATTTTAATTTCCAAGGTTCATTTTTGTCCTTTGAACATTCATTTTTTAGAAAGATTTTATTTATTTATTTGAGAGAGAGTGTGCAGGCAGGAGTACGAACGAGGGGAGGAGCAGGGAGACAGGGAGAGAAAGAGAGAATCTCAAGCAGAGTCAGCACTAAGCACAGAGCCAGATACAGGACTTTATCTCATGACCCTGAGATCATGACCTGAGCCAAAATCAAGAGTCAGACGTTCAGGATGCCTGGGTGGCTCAGCAGTTGAGCATCTGCCTTTGGCTAAAGGTGTGATCCCAGGGTCCTGGGATTGAGTCCCACATTGGGCTCCCTGCATGGAGCCTGCTTCTCCCTCTGCCTATGTCTCTGCCTCCCTCTCTCTGTGTCTCTCAAGAATAAATAAATAAAATCTTTAAAAAAAAAAAAAGGCAGATGCTTAACTAACTGAGCCATCCAGATGTCCCTGAATATTCATTTTAAAAACATAATATGCTATTGTTTCATGGGTTGTAAATCTGTGTCCTTCAGGTTGCTTTTCTTTTTTGTGTGTGGTCTCTATCCTGCACATTCGAGGTGTTTCTCAGGGCACCTGGGTGGTTCAGTGGTTGAGTGTCTGCCTTGGGCTCAGATCGTGATCCCCCGGGGTCTTGGGATCGAGTCCCACATCAGGCTCCCCTCAGGGAACCTGCTTCTCCCTCTGCCTATGTCTCTGCCTCTCTCTGTTTCTCTCATGAATAAATAATTTTTTAAAAAAATTTTTTTTAAGTTTTAGAGGTGTTTCTCAGTTGTATAGTTCTTGGTTGTAGATTCTTATTTGGGGACAAAAAAGGTGCTTGACAGCTTGGATTATATAGGTGAGACTTACTAACTTTGAGCAATAATATAGAATGATGTTGGTGGGCCCTTTATTGGGGAATTCCTCATGTAAGTGTCCTTAGGTTTTTCCTCTTCTGCTGGCAGGATTCCTCAGAGAATATTCTTCCAATCTCCTGCATGAAATTCCTGGAGCTAGAGGCTGGAAGATAGCTGAGCAGATTCTCAATATCTGGCTATTTTCAGGACGGTACTATTTTTAGAATATAGTACCCATGTTCTTGTCAACTGGTCAGTCCACAATGCAGACTTTCCATCTTACCCTTTCTAGAGATTAACTTCTGGATTTTTTTCTGGGGATGGGAAGAAGTGAGCAGGCAGGGAGGAGAATCTATTTCTCAACTAGCTTTTACTCTATTCTGCTTATTTTAGCACTACTATCCATCCTCAGTTCCAGATCCTTTCGTAGATTTCTGCAGTATCATCAGATTGGTTCTCAGCTTTCCTCACTGTTGGTTTAGAGTTCATCTTTATTAGTTCTGCTAAGTTAGTTTCCACTTGTCTGTCTACTTAATAATTTCCAAAAATGACATGTTACTATCCCTTCTCTCATTCTGTGTGATTTGTAGATTTAGTATTTTTATCTTTTTGTTTACTTATTTTTTAAGGAAGCTCTTTACCGAGCATCGGACTCAAACTCACAACCCTGAGATCAGGAGTTAGGTGCTCTACCAACTAAGCCAGCCAGCAGCCCCAGTATATTAGTGTATTTATTTATTTATTAGATTTGTGTTTTTTAAAAAGATTTCTTTACTACAGCTTTAGTGGGATATGAGGAGAGAGTAAACTTAGAATGTGTGTTTAATGTACCATCTTAACCTGGAAATTACGAAGTTTATATTAATAAGGACTGTTGTGGTTGTAAGTAATAGAAACCCAATTCAAACTAGCTTAAGGGAGAAAAGTTATTGGCTCTAGAAGGTGGGAAGAGTAGCTTACAGCATTGAAGGAAGAACTGCGTGAACCAGGACTTTTAACTTCTGGTCCTATCAAACTAGAACTGTCAGTATCACCAGGATACCATAAAAGCTGTATGTGTATATCTGATCAGTTTTATGAGTGCATGGTTTTATTTTACAGATAGATTCTTATCCTATGCAGAAAAGCTGACTGCTCACAGCCTGAATTTATATCTTCCCTCTTTCCTAACTTCATTGGAAAGAGAGTCTTTTTTTCCTTATATCTAAATATAAATATAAGGGAAAGATTCTTACTGATTTGGCTTTGGTCACTTGAGTACCCCTAATCCAGATGGAATGGGGGAGGAGTTTTCTAGAAGAAAAGGGATACTTTTACCAGAACAAGGGGAATAAGATGGCATAGGGTAGACAAGAAAGTAATAGGTCCTGTAATCCCCTATTATAAGCCTTATACATTTTCATGGTTACAAACAATGTTGCATTGATATCTATAGGATAAATTTCTCTAGTGGAATTGCTGGTCAGTTGTATTTTTATTATTGACAGATGTTGTGATATTGACCATCAAAAAGGTTGTATTAATGTATATTCCCAACAGTTGTTTGAGAGTTCCATTTCCCCATACCCTTGCCACATTGGGTATTATTAATCTTTTTTCTAATATATAGGTGAGAAGTGGTATCTCATTATTTTAATTTGTATTTTTTTTCTTTTGTAAGGATTTTATTTGTTTATTCATGACGCTACACAGAGAGACAAGAGAGAGAGGCAGAGACACAGGCAGAGGGAGAAGCAGGCTCCATGCAGGGAGCCTAACGTGGGACTTAATCCCGGGTCTCTAGGACCACGCCCTGAGCTGAAGGCGGTGCTAAACTGCTGAGCCACCCAGGCTGCCCTAATTTGTATTTTTTAATTATTAAAAAATGTTTAACATCTTTTTTTCGCCATTTGGATTTCTTTTTCTGTGAACTGCTTTCATTATTTTTAAAATTTTCTTTTGGATTATTAGCCTTTTCTTTGTTTACCTTTTTCCTTTTTTAACTCATTGATTTTTGAGAACTTCTTGTTCACTAAATAAATTAGCCCTTTGTTTTAATTCTTTCATTGTGGTAAAATATATATCACATAAAATTTACCATTGTAAGTATTAAGTGTATTAAATACATTCACATTCTTGTGCAACCATCACTACTGTCCATCTCAGAAGTTTCTCATCTTCCCCTATTAAAACTTTGTACCCACTGAACACTAACTTCTTTTCTTCCTTCCCCCAGCCCCTGGTAATTACCATTCTACCTTCTGTCTCTGTGAATTGAACTACTCTAATTAACTCCTATAAGTGGAATCATGTGTGTCTGGTTTATTTCACTTAGCATAAAGTCTCAACCCTTTGTTTTTATATGTAGTTTGATAGCTTATTGAGTCTTGCAGTAATTGATGATATTTTAAGTTGCTTACCTACTTGCCTTTTTCTTTTTTTAAAACTCATTTCATTACCATTTATTTTATCTCCTAGTATCTCGAAAAAGGAAAGCCAAGAACTGGGAGGATGAAGACTTTTATGATAGTGATGATGACACATTTCTTGATCGGACTGGCCTTGTTGAAAAGAAGCGTCTGAACCGAATGAAAAAGGCTGGGAAGATTGATGAGAAGCCAGAGACCTTTGAATCACTGGCAAGTTTTACTTATAGAAATAGCTGTGGTAGTTCAATTTTTATATAAGATATTATTTAAGTTTGTTTTAAAATTTTAATTTTTAAAGCAATAGCATTGAAATCTGGTAGTGAAGTATAACTTTCTTGATCTGTCAATTTGTTAGTAATAACCAGTCTTATCCAGGTTGGAAAAAAGTTTGGCTTGCTGCTAGCCTCTGTCTACCTCTAGGTAGATACTGATTTATTAATGAAACTTCTTTGAATATGATTAACAGCATATCCAAAAAGAAAGGAAAATTCAGACATTCTGAAGTGAAATCAACTTTAGACTTTTGGCAGTCAAGAATTGTGAAAGGAATTTTGAGGAGTATACTTTATTAATAGTCTTAAACAGTATATCCTTTATGAAATCGTCATAAGATGGCATGTGTTTTCACTATATTAAGTAGTATTGAGAGCTTTAAAACATTACCTAACATCTATTTTTTTGATTCACCAATGAAAACAAATGCCTTGAGTTCTTTCTTTTGAGTAACATCAAGTCTATATTCTGTACAATCAGTTTAATTATGAATTAATTCAGAAATTAATTCAAATTAAACACATGAAAAATGTTAGCTCCATAAAATTCAGATTTAAGTGGATTTCTGAATTAATCCTCTTAAACAAACAAAAAAAATCCTTTTAAACCTTGTAACAATAGTGAAAATAGGAGGAAGACAGGAAAGCTACCATATTTTGAGAGAAGAAAAACATTTGTTCACCCTGTTAATTTGGGTATTACAGGTTGCAAAATTAAATGATGCTGAAAAGGAACTCTCTGAAATTTCTGAGAAACTGAAAGCCTCAAGCAAAGGTAAGTTAATGACCTATTAAACAAATATGTATTGGGCGTCTATCATAGGTACTATACGCTATATGCTTGTCAGCACTGAGGCTAATAAGATATACAAAATATGGAGCCTTTCTTTTTTTTAATTTTTTTTAAAGATTTTTATTTATGTATTCATGAGAGACACAGAGAGAAAGAGAGGCAGAGACACAGGCAGAGGGAGAAGCAGTCTCCATGCTGGGAGCCCAATGTGAGACTCGATCCCGGGACTCCAGGATCATGTCACCTGGGCGGAAGGCAGGCGCTAAACCGCTGAGCCACTCAGGTGTCCCTGGAGCCTTTCTAAGGAGCAACATAGCATCGTTGAATGAGAAAGAACATTATAAATTATTTGGTTTAAGCTCTTTATGTAATAGATGATGAAAATGAAGCCCATTGAGGCAAAGTGATATCCCAAGGTCTTCAAGTTATCACCTGTTTTCTTATTCCTAATATGAATAATGTCCTCTATCCAGCTTTATGTTAGTGGATTTTTTTTAAAAGGATTTATTTATTTGAGAGAGAGAGTAGAGCGGGCAGAGGGAGAGAGAATCTTAAGTAGACTCCTTCCTGAGTGTGGAGCCTGACATGGGATCATGACCTGATCTAAAATCCAGAGTTGGATGCTTAACCTGTTGAGCCACCCAGGTGCCCTTATTAGTGACTTTTCTATGGAAACTTTGGCTGAATTTTAAAATATTTGAGGCCATTTTTCTGAACATGTATTATCCTTTCTTGGACAGCTCTATCAGAGTCACCATCTCAGGACTCTTTAGATGCATTCATGTCAGAAATGAAATCAGGGAGTGCATTGGATGGTGTGTCCCGGAAGAAACTTCACCTGAGAACTTTTGAACTTAGGAAAGAACAACAGAGACTTAAAGGGTTGATAAAAATTGTAAAACCAGCAGAGATTCCAGAGCTGAAAAAGTAAGTCTTCATTATAATTAAAATTTTAAGAAGGCATGTTTGAATACATAACATTTTGAATTATATCATTGTTTTCTTACATAATCATTACAGAATAGAAATAGAATGTAAGAGGGCCTTTAAAGCACAGGAGACAGTGATTTCAGAGTCAAAACCCATTTCATTTATGAAATATAGACTGCTATGGAATTTTTAGAGAAAACTCTATTGATTCTTGTTTCATTGGAAGACTCTGAATTTTTTACTTAATCTTTTAATGCAGAGTAAACTTCTTTAAAGAGCAACATGCACAAAAGACTAGTATCCCTAATATATAAAGACCTTTGAATAAGTAGACAACCATCTAGCAAAGAGAAAAATGGGAAAGGGGTATTAACTGACAGGCCACTGAGAAAGAAATAAACATAGCTCTTAACTATGTAAAAAAAGTGCTCAATCTTGCTCATAAGGGAAATACAAATATAATAATGTAATATTTTTTAATCTATGATTTTATCTTATTTTTTATTTTTTAAAGATTTTACTTATTTATTCATGAGACACACAGAGAGGGGGGAGAGAGAGAGAGAGGCAGAGACACAGGCAGAGGGAGAAGCAGGCTCCATGCAGGGAGCCGGACATGGGACTCGATCCCAGGTCTCCAGGATCACGCCCTCGGCCGAAGGCAGCGTTAAACTGCTGAGCCACCTGGGCTGCCCTAACCTATGATTTTAAAACCCCAGAGGAAATAAAAGTACAAATTGTCATTTTAGCACTTGATTTGTCATTCCTAAGAACCGGTTGATAACTTTAATATATTTAGATACTGTGTAAAAATTATATTTTTTATTTATTTATTTGAGAGCGAGAACACAAGGCAGGGGATGAGCAGAGGGAGAGGGACAAGCAGACTCTGCTGAGGACCTAGCCCTGATAACAGGGCTCAGTCCCATAACCCCGATATCACGACCTGAGCTGAAATCAAGAGCCAGATGCCCAATGGACTGAGCCACCCAGGTGCCCCCCTATATTTAAATACTTTAAAGTGGACTTTCTTCCTTTAAAATGGGGGAAGGCATAATCCCCTAAAGTTGATTTTATTGGTTAACTTTGATTTTTGTGGAAATTATTGGAAGAAATTAACCTAAGTCCATTTGCAGAAATCTAGAAAATTTTTGAGTAATTTGTAAATAGGATTTTGGGAATAGTTTTTCCCAGACTCAGCTTGTATTTGTGAATGTATGAATGTATACATGGTGTGTGTGTGTATACGTGTGTGAGAGAGAATAAGATCCAAACTTTCAACTTGACAGTATTTTCAAATTTTGTTCTATGTGGTCTCAACAAATTTTGAAAATGTTGAGTAGGTTGTTGTGGAAATGAGCAATTCCCAATGAGCACAATCCAGGTAGACATCTCAAAAACTGGGTATTGCCTGGGTGGGATCACTCATTTATGAAGATAATTAACTCTGGAAAGTTTCTTATTTTCTTTAAAATTGTGCTGTCCTATATAGCACCCAATAGTCTCCTGTGACATTAAAATTAAATGAAATTTAAAATTGAGTTCTTTAATCAAGTAGTCACATTTCAAGTTCTCAGTAGCCACATTGTAGCTAGTAGCTTCTGTATTGGACAGTGTAGAAGTAGAACATTTCCATTATTGCAGAAAGTTCTGTTGGACAGTGCTGCTTTAAGTAGGCTCCATGTTGGGCGTGGAGCCCAATTTGGGTCTCAACTCACCATCCTGAGATCCAGACCAGAGTTGGGATCAAAAGCTGGCCACTTTTGATGACTGAGCCACCAAGTGCCCCATGGACAGTGCGGCTTTAGATTGTGTACGCATTTAGGCAGCCCCTTTCCCATATACAAAAAGCCTATAACTTGATGCTAGGGACATTGCATAGATAAGTATCTAGATATTAGAAGGTACCTTTTTTTTTAATAGAGATGTTTTTGGAGCCCTTGATCATCTGTACAGAAAATTAATCCCCAAATTACTAGCAGGTTTTTAAAAGATGTATGTATAGTTTGGATATTTCATACAGTGATTCCTAGGTCAGTCCACAAAAGTCTATGACCCAAGTAGTATTTCATTTACTAATAGTAAGGAGGGGAGTTAGCACTAAAGTTAGACTCCCTGGCTTTCATTCTTAGTTCTTTTCATTCTCAGCTCTTTGGGCATTTTGAGGCAAGTTATTTCTTTGACCTTTGCTTCCTTCAGCTGTAAATTAGAAGTACTAGTGATGTTGAAAGATGACATGAATAGAGGTGTCTGGGTGGCTCAGTCAGTTGGGCATCCTACTCCTGGTTTTGGCTTGGGTCAGCATCTCAGGGTCATGGGATCGAGCCCCACGTCAGGCTCTGTGCTTAGCAGCAAGTCTGCTTGGGATTCTCTCTCCCTCTGCCCCTCTCGCATTCATGGTGCTCTCTCTCTCTTTTTTTCTAATAAAATAAAATCTTTTAAAAAAAAGGAAGATAACATGAATAGCACTTGACAAAGTGCTGGCATGTATGTATTATTATTGTCATCATTGTCCCATTTTGCTTATACCTAGCAGCTATTTATAACATTGTGTTTATGGAGAAAGGATAAAAACTCCCAAGACATAGAACGGGTGAACATTAACATTGAGTTTTAATTCTAACTCCAAAATCGTTTCCCTTGGTAAGTCATCCCTGTGAGGGAGGGTATGCCAGCTTCCTCCAGAGCCTCCCTTCATGCTGTCTGCGTGTCTGCTTAGTTTCTCCTCCCTTTCCTACATTAGATCTGTCCTTTAGATGTGTATACCTTCTCTTTCCTCTTCTGACTTGAGGGTTGAACTTCCAAACTTTCTATCTAACATTTTTCCCGCCTGACCCAAGTAGCTGTTGATTGCGATCCCATCTTCTGTCTTTTCATATCCTTGGGGTGTCTTTGCTCATCCTCCAGACCAGCCAAGCTATTTAATAGAGCTGAAAAATATCTGTGTTGTTCTTGACTTTGTCTTTGTATGCCAGAATCTTCCTGAAGCCTTTGAAGAGGGCCTGTGAAGGATAGTATTTGTCAAAGAGTCTTTAGGCAGGCAGAATTCTTCTGGTGGCCTTAGCAAGGCAATGGGTGTGTCTGTGGTGGAGAGCACGGGGCTAAGGCTACGCTCAGGAACACTGCTGAGGGGATAGGACTTAGGTAGAAGAAGGCAGTAGTGGGATATGGGGCTTTAGCATGGAACAGCAAGGTCAATTTCTCATATGGGTCCCTGTGTGTCCAGAGTGCCATCTCGATCCCTGTATTCCAGAATGCAGGCCTGTCCTTCCCTCTCTCTCCTCATGCTATCTCGCCTACTCTCTGAGTGTCTGATCAACTCAACTGCTATCCGTTTTGTTTTTGCTCATTTCTTGTTTCCCTCTGCTCTTTCCTAATTTCTACAATCTCTTGTTTTTGCTCTTTTTCAGCTTTACCCTAGTGGGCTCAGCTATTAGAACTCTCTTTGGCAAAAAAAAAAAAAAAAAAAGAATTCTCTTTGGCCATTGAGAATGGTGACAAGCTCATTAGTTGTAAGGTCTCTCATATGTCTTTGTCATTACTTATCACGCAGTGTAGCTCCTACACACACTTTTTTTTTTTTTTTTTAAACTTCTGTGATCAGAGCTTTTGTGTGTGGTTATAAGTTTGAACTCCAGGTAAGTAAGACACTATGAGTCCTCTTGAGAGGTTGGTGGAAAATAGGGCTTTACACCATGGACTCATCCTGCCACTCGGTGGCAAGGAATGGGGTCTTGCCCCTTTGTCAATGACCTTTGTAGTCAGTATCATTTTATGAAGGTGAAGTCGTGGCATGTTACAACTTACTAAAGTCAGACCCTCATCTTGCTCTGAATAGCCCTGTCTGTGAGAGTCAGCATTCAGATTCTCTTGGCCTTTCCCATTTGTATGCTTAGATGTTCATTTTTTGGAAATTTTTGTTTTGCCAAAAGTTTGTCATCGTCCAGGGTGTTTTTAGATAAAATCTTGGCCTTGCCAGAATAGATATGTATAACTGTTCTTTCTTCTTAGGACTGAAAGTCAGACAGCAGATGTGGAAAACAAAGCTAAAAAGCTTACATTGCCTCTTTTTGGTGCCATGAAAGGAGGAAGCAAATTCAAATTAAAAACGGGAACAGTAGGGGTAAGTTGTGGGTCATGGTGTTAAACTTTTAGCTCTCAAGTCAGTTTGCATGTAACTGATAGGTACACTGACCATCAATTTATTAATTAGTGATAAATGTTGCGTTTAAGAGGTGTTTCTTGGGATCCCTGGGTGGCGCAGCGGTTTGGCGCCTGCCTTTGGCCCAGGGCGCGGTCCTGGAGACCCGGGATCGAATCCCACATCGGGCTCCCGGTGCATGGAGCCTGCTTCTCACTTTGCCTGTGTCTCTGCCTCTCTCTCTCTCTCTGTGACTATCATAAATAAATAAAAATTAAAAAAAAAAAAAGAGGTGTTTCTTTTCCTAGTGAGTGGATGTTGTGGCATTTAGACTCTGCTAACATATATGAGTCACATAGTCCCTGCACCTGGCCCTGCCATATGATGTTCCGTACTTCATTTAATCCCTCTAACACTTCCTGATGTGTGGGAATTATAACCTTTCACAGGTGAGGAAACAGGGTCAGAGAGGTTAAATATGAGATCACATCATCATTAAGTGACTAGACCGGCAGTCAGATCCAGGTCCACTGTTTCTTGAGTTTTATCATCTTTCTATTATCCTCTAACACTTCACTGGTGAATATTTTTGCTTTATGTACATCACTTTTCAGAGATTCAGCTTTTAAAAGATCTTCATCACCTAAAGAGCTGAACCTTATGTATTAGTGTGTGAGGGCTGCCCTAACCAAACCACAGACTGGGTGGCCTAAATGACAGAAATTTATTTTCTCACAGTTCTGGAGGCTGGAAGTCCCAGATCAGCATGCCAGCAGGTTTGGTTTTCCCTGAGGTCTCTTTCCTTGGCTGGAAGATGGTTGCCCTCTTCCTGCATCTTCTGTGCACTTGTACCTCTTAGAAGAACACCAGTCATCTTGGATTAGGGCCCCACCCTAACGCTTTTTTTCAACGTACCCCTTTAAAGAGTTTATCTCTAAATATGGTTACCTTCTGAGGTACTGGGGATTGGAACTTCATGAATTTTGTGGGGCCAGAATTCAGCCCCAAGCACCTTGAATTAGGGCAAACTGCCCCCTGGTGGCAGAGGCCTGAAGTCGCAGGTTGACCTGAGATGCAGGCTTTTCTGTGAAGGTGGAGGAAGGGAGGTACTTGTGTTTTAATTAGAGGAAAAAGTCTTTACTAAAAAGCTCTCTTGGGCAGCCCCGGTGGCCCAGTGTTTTAGCGCCGCCTTCAGCCCGGGGTGTGATCCTGGAGACCTGGGATCAAGTCCCACATCGGGCTGCCTGCATGGAGCCTGCTTCTCCCCCTGCCTGTGTCTCTGCCTCTCTATCTCTATCTACTGTCATAAATAAATTTTAAAAATCTTTAAAAAAATCAAATAAATAAATAAATAAATAAAAAGCTCTCTTTAAGGTTTACTGAATTAAATCCTATATTTAAAAAATGAAAAAAAAAGATGCGTTCAGTATATACTTTGGTACTTTTTCTCTATTCCTTAAGCTCCAATCAAATTTTTCTAATAAAAGGTCTTTTAGAATACTTGGCTTTATTCCTTAAGAAATGTCTTTAGGGGAAAAAAAAAAGAAATGTCTTTAGGGGATGCCTTGGTGGTGCAATCTGTTGAGCATCCAACTCTTGGTTTCAACTCAAGTCATGATCTCGGTTGTGAGATCAAGCCCCAGCATCAGGTTCTGTGCTCAGTGCAGAGTCTGCCTGAGAGTCTCTCCCTCTCCCTCCTGCTCTTTCTCTTCCTGTCTCTTTCTCTCTGTTTATCTCTCTCTAAAATAAATAAATAAATCTTAAAAAGAAAAAGAAATGTCTTCACAATCTGTTTTACTGATTGACATGTCTTATTTCTTTGAAATTGTGTCAAATCTAAAATGAAAAAGCTCCACAAATAATCTGTTTCTTAAAGATGTGTGTCTGATTTTCTTCTGCAAAATTTTGTGATGAATTAAGATCCTTTAACACCATGAGGGGTAACAGGACAGAATTCTTGCAGCTGACATTCACCTGCAATAAATGTTTTTGTTCCCTACAAGCTGTTTTAAGTGTTCTGTACTTAATATTCTTTTGACCCTAGAAACTTATAGACCTGTGTGTTAAGGGTCCATAGATGGATAAAATTTCACATGCAAGTCCTACTTCTGGCAGACTTCTGCAGGGTTCATCAACCTAGAGAGGTTAGATATACACATTTAGCTTAACCTCCTTAAAGAGATTTGTTTCTTTGTTATTATTTGGAACTATTTGTTCATGGTTTTGTTTTGTTAATAGAAGTTACCCCCCAAGCGTCCTGAACTCCCTGCAGCTCTGATGAGAATGAAGGATGAGCCTGAAGTAGAAGAGGAGGAAGAAGAGGAGGAGGAAGAGGAGAAGGAAAAGGAGAGGGATGAAAGGGGGGACATGGAGACTGGAAGCAGTAGGCTGCAGCAGGAGACAGAGCTGGAAGAAGCAGTGCAGGACACAAGGCCTCCTACTGACCTCATGTGTTCTAAAGAAACAAAAACCCATGGTAATATTTTTCTTCTTCTTCCTGTGGTGTTCAGTAGGGCATTTTCATTAATTGTGCATTGTTTTGAAAAGCCAAGCTAGTTCTTGCTTGTGCATTTTGACTCTGTGGCACTTGATGATATGTAATACAGTGGACTCTGGAAACATACTTTTTTGCTCTTTGACTGTCAGTCATTATTTATCATTGCCAAATAAGGAGGGCATGCATTTCCTGTCTATTCCAGAATTATGGAGCACTGAAAGCTGTGGAATCTGAAACCACAGCTGCTGTGGAACAATCCTGAGCTGCTGCCATTGTGTGATTAGAGGGCAGTAGAAGAGGGTGCATGATGGAGCCTAATCAGTAGTCTCAGTGTAGACCTCCCCTTAGTCATTTTTTTCCCCATCCCTAAAATGGAGGCTAAGCATACCTGTGCCCACAGAACACACTTCCTAGGAAGTATGATGCGTTGTTCATCTTTTTGCCCATGGTACTGGCAGAGAACCCAGCACAGTCTTCACCCACCTCCGCCAAGGCTTGATGACAAATGACAAAAGAGGGAATTGGTTGGTTTTAACTATGTTTTCTTCTGATTATAAGAGAAAGATGTATTCATTTTAGAAACTTCAGATCCTACATAAAAGTCCAAAGAAGAAAAGAGAACTCTCCTGCAATCTCATCCCCAGAGATCATTGTTCATTTTTCAGTATCCTCTTGTCCCTTGTCAACTGCAGGAGTTATTTCCCTGCAGGGTGGCCAAACTGCTTGGAATTGTTAACACTTTGTAGAAAATAGGGAGCATGAGGAAAAACAGAACAGAAACTGACATTAAATATTTATGGGAATGCATGCCATGTCTACTTCCAGAACAAACCAGGCTTGTCTGCATAAAGTGCCAGGCCTGGTATGGAGGCCTTCTCCTGAATCATCCTCAGTTGGTTGAGAAAAGTTTCTGTTTTTTTCATCTGTGAGAGATCTTTTGTTTTTGTGTTCTCCTTTGCTTAGTTATTGGCAAAATGCTTAGCCTTTTCAAACAAGGTACTTACACATACTCTTTTAGAGTCCAGTCTTTGATCCATACGTTGTGAGGGTGGCATGTAAGGTTAGCAGGAGGGGGAGTAATAAGTGTTGAATTTTTTTTGTTAAGAGACCAAAGGAAATATGTGTATGTATAAAAATGGTAGATTTTTAAATTTGGTAAAGATACATTAATGAATAAATCTGCAACTGCTTAGGGATTACTCTAGGCCTCTTTTTTATTTCAATATTAGGATCATATTGTACATGCTATTTTATAACCTTTTTTTTTCCTACGTCTTAAAATATTCTTTTTTTTTGTCTTAAAATATTCTTTTAAAATGTGGAGTCAATAAGGAGCATAGTGGTCCATCACATGCAAGTGCCATAATTTATGTAATCACCTCTCTATTGTTAGACCTGTATGTTATTTATTAAGTTTTGCTATTATAAACATATTGTATATAATAAATCTTGGTATCCGTCTTTGATTATTTTCTTTGAATATGTTCCTGGAATTAGAATTTCTAGGCCAAGGAATATGTACATTTTTAAGGCTTTTGGTAAGTAGTGCTGAAAAGTTTTACCTCAGAGTTGGCCAGTTTTTAAAGTGGAAAACTGATTTCTCTATTAAACATATGGAGGCACATTTTTTTGCAAATCTAATTAAGGTTATTGAAGCTAATGATAGTAAAACTGGATGATTATGTATTTACTTAGCTTTTCCTGCTTTTGTTTTTGTTTTCTTGGTTCCCCACTATGAATTAAATAATAACAATATGCTCTCGTTCTGCATTTTATAGAAAACACGTCTCAACTCACCCAACTGGAACAGATTAAAGATTATCAAGAGATTAGTGAAACAGCTGCATCATGTGAGGAACCCTCAGGCAAGTAGTGTAGCCGACTCTGTTGCTGCTCTGCACACAACCAGCTGGTGTCAGAGAGAAGTTGGCAGCTGAGCTGAAGCAGCAGGAGAATGGCCTTTCAGACACTGGGGAGATGCTCTTGCAAGGGCCTTCGACAATACTGGAATATATGAGAGGTTATGTGTGGTGCCATACCAGTTGCCTTTCTTTATTCCTTTTTCTGCCTCTTGGGGTTCCATCTCCCTGACCTACAAAATTCCTACTGCCTTTGTGCTTCCTTCTGTCCATGCAAGGCCCTCCATAATTTTCCATCTCCCAGAGATGAGTCTGTGTCTATCTTGGCAGTAATTCTAAAACTATTTAAAGAAGTTGGTTGAAAGGTTGTCCTATCGAAAGGACCGATTTTGAGGCCTCTGAGTGGTGTAGTTGGTTGAGTGTCTAACTCTTGGTTTCAGCTCAGGTCCTGATCTCGCGAGTTGTAGGATCGAGCTGGAGTTAGGCTCTGCACTCAGCGCAGTCTTTTGGAGACTCTCTGCCTCTCCCTCACTTGCGCGCGCGCTCTCTCTCTCTCTCTCTCCAATAATCTTTAAAAAAAAAAGAGAGACTAGTTTTCTACTGCTTTTAACTGTAATGGTTGAACTGTAGAATAGTAAAATCAGCCCCATTTTCCTTGCCCCCCTTTTTAAAAGAGATTCTTTTTATTTGAGAGCAAGATTGAGAGTGCATGAACAATTTGGGGGAGGGACGGGGGAGAGAAGCAAACTCCCCACTGAGCAGAGAGCCCTGCGTGAGGCTTGATCTCAGAACCCTAGGATCATGACCTTAGCCCAAAGCAAACACTTAACCACCTAAGACACCCTTTTCAAATGGTGCAGTTGTATTCAAGCTTGTAGAACAGCCTTAGGATTTGAAAACTAGGGTTATTAGCAGAGAGAAAATTCTCTAAAGATAGATAGTCTTTATAATAGAAGAAAAAAATTTTTTAAAGATTTTATTATTCATGAGAGACAGAGAGAGAGAGAGAGAGGTAGAGAAACAGGCAGAGGAAGAAGCAGACTCCGTGCAGGGAGCCTGATGCAGGACTTGATCCCGGGACTCCAGGATCATGCCCTTGTCCGAAGGCAGGCACTAAACTGCTGAGCCACCCAGCGATCCCCAATAGAATAAATTTTTGAGAATTTGTTACATGTTTGCTTCAATTTTTATAATGCTCTTTTAGGGGGAATTTTTTCTTTTCTGTTTTACTTATTCTGAAGTAGCTATTGCCTCTTGTTTTTCTTTTTCTCAAATTAGCATCAAAGAATAAATATGAGAAAAACAGAGATGAACCGAAGAAAAAAAAAGCTCCTGGTCCAGGCAAAGTAAGTACTTAGCCATAATCTTCATCTCTCTAGAAATAAAAGTGAATCCCCTTGTCATGGACCACATTCAGAAGAGTGAATTTTTAGGGATTGTCTTAGTAGAGTTCCCAATTGCCTAATCTAGAAATCCAGGCTCTCTTTTATTTTTGAATTTTTATGTTTTGCATTCTCTATTTTTGTCTCCATCCACATGGTTCTCTACTACTGTACATATACCTCTTTGATTAATTTGTGAATCTTTGTTCATATCCTTTTATGCCATACAAAGACATTCGCATAATATATTCTAATTTGACTGTTTATTACATAGAAGATAGAATGTAATGTACTGCATTCTATCAGGAATTTTTTTTTGTAACCCATTGTGGAAATCACTGGTCATCAGCATACCAAGAACTTCTTACTATGTGGATACCTAGCCAATCCCCTGTGGGTGGATACTTGGGTTGTTTTTAGTCTTTCATTGTAACAGTGCTATAATGAATAATCTTGTGTATACGTAATTTTGTATGGATACAGTAAGTTCCCAAAAGTGGGATTGCTAGATTGTGTCAGGAGGTCCCTAAGACCCTCAGGCTAGGCAATTCACAGAAAGCCTCACAGGACTCAGTACGTGGTTGTGCTCACAGCTATGATTTACTAGAGTAAAAGGATACCAAGCACAGTCAGCAAAGGGAAAAGGCCATGGGGCAAAGTTTGAGGAAACTAGGCGTAAGCTTCCAAGAGCTCTCTTTCATGAAGTCACACAGGATGTATTTAATTCCCCTAGCAATGAGTTGTGACATCTTATGAAATGTTGCTAACCAGGAAGGCTCTTTAGAGACTCAGTGCCCAGGATTTTTACTGGGGACTGATCACAAAGGCATCTTCTGCCTGACATGTACTCAAATTCCATTTTCCCAAAAGGAAAGTAGATGCTCAGTATGAGCCATATTGTTTTTATAGACAGTTTAGGCTCAGTGAGCCACTTAAGCTTATCAGGTAGTAAGAACCCTGCTGAAATCCAAATCCTCAGATACCAAGTGAAGGCCAGCATTGTAAATAGGCCTTTCAAGGGATAGCAGTCAGGCTTGCCCTGTTAAGTCTTTTCTGTACTTTGATCAAAATACAAATGTCAAATTTCCCTCTATGAGGGTTATACCACTAGAACTCATATCTCTGTTAACAGTCCCTTGTAAAAAACATCACTTCACTCTCACTGGCTGAGAATCAGCTTGTTGAGGCTTTACAGGAAAAAGTCAAGGTTCAGAGAGAGAGTGTGCTGCCATTTTTTGGTTACTTATGTCAAGGTAATTAATGGAAGCTTTTCTCTCTTAATTTTTATTTGCTGATAGGCATAGGGACAATAATTCTTAGAGTTAAAATTCTTTTGAGTAAAATAACCTATCTTTTCTTCGCAGCTTCCAGCAACACTTTCCTCCAAATATCCAGAAGATGACCCAGACTACTGTGTGTGGGTCCCACCTGAAGGTAGATTGTTTTCTATTACTTTTCTTCTCTTCTAAGACTTACATATTTATATTTCTGAATAGGTAATGTATGTTTAAGGTTCAAAATAAAGTTTTATAAGAGTATATGGTAAGATGGAGCGCCTAGGTAGCACAGTTCGTTAAGTGTCCACCTCTTGGTTTCAGTTCAGGTTGTGATATCAGCATCATGAAATCAAGCCCCATGTAGGACTCCTTGCTCAGTGCAGAGTCTGCTTGGTGTTCTTTCTCCCTGTGCCTCTGCCTCCCATTCACTCTCTCGTATTCTCTCTCTCTCTCCCTCTCTCTTTTCTCCCTCTCTGCCTCTCTCCCTCTCTCCCTGTTCCCCTCTCCCTCTCTCTCTCTGTCTTCCCTCTCTCTCTCTCTCTCTCTCAAATAAGTAGGGGCACCTGGGCGGCTCAGTTGGTTAAGGATCTAACTTTGGCTCAGGTTATGATCTCAGGGTCCTGGGATCGAGCCCCACGTCTGGCTCCCTGCTCAGGGGGGAGTCTGCTTTTCCTTCTTCCTCAGCCCCTTCCCCTGGTCGTGCTCTCTTTCTCTTTCTCTCTCAAATAAATAAATAATCTTAAAAAAAAAATCTTAAAAGAGTATGTAGTGGGAAAGTTCTTCCTTCTAGGGAAACAGAGTAAAAGATCTAAAAAGACATAGCTACTAAATATAATTTGTGGATTCTGCTTACATCCTTATTTGAACAAACAACCATTTAAAAAATTATATACCAGTCAGATAATTTTGAATACTAGCCAGATATATGATGATACTAGAAAATTATTAATTGTTTTAAAGTGTAGGTGACGTTATGTTTTTTAGGAAAAGTCCTTATCTTCTAGGACTAAGTACAGAAATGTTTACAGATGGAATGGTATTTTGTATTGCCTTAAGATAATCCTGTAGAGGTAGAGGATGAGGGAGCATGGAGGGGGTAATAGATAAAGTAGGACTTGCCACATATTGATAATTGTTTTAGCTGGGTGATGAATGGAGGTTCATTAAAATTTTTTCTTTACTTCTGCATGTCTTTCACATTTTCTTTACAGTTAAAAAAACAACAAATGCTAGCAGCTTTGCCTCAGCTACTCAGTGTTTTCCTCTAAAGCCAGCCAAATATCACTTTCTTATGAGTTCTTATATATGTCACATAAAATGCTTATGTGAGCAATAAAATACATAATATTTCACCATTGTTCTTACACAAATAGAAGCATATTCTATACTTTGCTGTCTTGCACTTAACACTATATGGAGATCCTTCCATAGCTATTTATAGATTCCTTCTTTCCCTCTCTCCCTCCCTGTCCTTCCTTCCCTAGTCCGTCCTTCCTTCCTTCCTTCCTTCCTTCCTTCCTTCCTTCCTTCCTTCCTTCCTTTCTTCCATAGTTCTTTTTTATGGTATAGATAATACCATTACTTATTTATTCAGTTCCCTCAATGAATATTTCCTGTGTTTCCAGTTTTGCCATTACAAACAACTCTGCATGGAGGGACCGGGGTAGGGGGATGGGGTAACTGGGTGATGGACATTAAGGAGGGCACATGATGTAATGAGCTCTGGATGTTATATAAAACTGATGAATCACTGACCTCTACCTCTGAAAACCAATACATTATATGTTAATTAATTGAATTTAAAAAAAAAAACAATTCTACAATAGGTAACCTCTGAAATACTTTTGCAAGTGTAGAGGTTCATGTGTAGAAAAATCATAAAAGTTAACATGCTGGATCAGAGGCTATAAACATATTTAAGACATTATAAATTTCATTCTATAGAGAGTGTACAGCTTATGTTCAAGATCTGTTTGAGAACAGACCCTGATTTTTCAGAACACAGTTCAGGCACACTTTTAAGGCAGTATATGAGATGCTTGCTCTCCATATGGTTATCATAGGTTGCTTTTTTTATGGATCAGGTTTCTAATATACTAGTAGTTAATAAAAATTTTGTTACAAGAAATGTTTGCTTTTTATTGGCTAATAAATGTAAGGATAGAAGTGAAAAGAAGACCATGTCTTGAAGTCATATGCAAAAAGGCAGAGTTCTAGAATAGAAGAAACTGTTTTACTTTTTAGCCCACTAATGTCTGGATATCTTTTCCCTCCTGACTTTGGGAAAGTGAATGTGTTTCTTTCTTTCTTTATACTCTGATCTAGGCCAAAGTGGAGATGGCAGGACCCATCTGAATGACAAGTATGGCTATTGACTGCTTCAGAATCCTAGAGGAAGATCTTGTGGACCATGTGACATAGGATATTTAGGGTACTATATCAAGTTGAATATCCAGAGAAGGAGTTCAGGTGATCTTTTGTAAAATCTGGTGACTGGCCTTTTCTTCCACTCTTGGCTCTCTAAATTTATCTACTCATCTGATGCCCTTGAATTTGGCATTTATGTTTAAAAGTGTTTGTGTATGTATGTAAAAACCATATATTTGAGAATTGGTAAAGTGAGAGACATAACTCTATTAAAAGAGAAAGAGAAGATGTCTCACGTTTGGGTAAGGCCACAGTGTCTTTCATTAAGTTTTAGGGATTGTGCTTCACTTGAGGAATAGGGTGCTTCTGGCAGTTAGACCCTAGGCTTCACTGATACGGTTTCCTCAAAGAAGTGTTGAAATATGAGGTCATGCCATAGTGTGACCCTGGGTGCCCCAGTCATTCCTGGAACTAAAAGTAGATACAGAGTGGGGGCGTCCTACTCCCTCCTACTATCATCCTCCTGCCAGGTTTGAGAACAGACCCTGATTTATCAGGACACAGTTAGGACATAGTACCATCTTGTGCACTCAGGCACTAGTCTTGATACAAACTCAGTTCTTTGCATGTCCTGTACTCTGACCAATCAGATTAGTCACTCCTTCTCCTGTGGGAAGGTGCAAATAAGGTCATAGAATGAAAAGTTGGGTGTGTTCTACCCAGCGTGAGGCTTCTCACCTCTATGGAGAGGAGAATAAAAGTTCTTCCTCTCTGGAAACACAAAGAAATGCGAGAAAATATCATCCCCCCCCCCCCCCGCACCCTCTTCCCCCTCAAAGGTTAATGAAGGCCTCACTTCCACAGGGAATGAATGAAAGCCTAAGAGTGGCAGCAAGGTGGAGAGTTTGTAGATTAGGCTGGAGGCAGATCCAGTGAGCAGGCAGGAGAAACTCTGTGGCCCAGGAAGAAAGTGGATGAGGGTGATGTTTTCTGTCTTTTATATGGCATATATAAAATGTGGCATATATTTTCTCCATTATATGGCATGCATGAAATAGGCAGGGAGCAGTAATGAGAAACTTCAGTTACCCTGACAGATATAGGAGGTCCTGTCTACTGAAAGTGATGCCTTTCATTTCTCAATGAACAATACCAATATTGTATTATGAGAAACTATTATAATTTTGGGCTTCATTTAGACCAACAGGGAAGAACTTGATATAAGAACTGACAGGAATTTGGGGGCAGAGTGACCATGCCATCTTAGATTGAAACTATAAGCAAAGGTCCCAGCCATGTTATTGGTCCTCAGAGGTGGAACTCTTCATTCAAACAAAATCGTGTGTGGGATCCTTAGGCTTGAACAGATAAAAACATATCTGTTCTAGTTTAAGTGTGGCCTTGGAGATGGGATCTATAGATTCTATATAGATACATACCCACAGGCATCCTCTCCTTCTCCCCTCACGGTGTTCCTAAGGAATCCTAGGGGCTCACAGAGCATCATCTACTTAGGACCCCGAAAGTGAATAGGTTTCCATATGCCAAAATACACTTGATCTTAGCCAAAAGGACGAGAAGCGATCCATATGCCAAAATAAAACATAAATCTGTTACTTGTACAGTGAACATCAGTGGTCAGTTGAATTTGGTTGAAAAGATGTGCTCATGAATCTTTACTCCCTTTACTAAATAGGAGACTTTGGAGACATCACTTAAGTCCCCTGAGCCTCAATTCTGTCATGTGTGAAGCAGGGACAGTAATGCTTCCTGTTTTTTGAACCTTGGATTTGTTCTAAGGGTCAAATCAGATAATGTAGAGAGATGTGCAGTACAGGGCTTTGAAGGTACTAGTAGTTGTCTCTCATTACAAACAGGAGACAAATCCTGACCTGTGGGCCTGGCTCCTCATCTGAGGCAAGAGACCGGATAAAATTAGTGATTCTCAACTGTGGCTGCGTATTAGAATCACTTAGGGAAATTTGTTAAGTCTTTCATTTTAATACTTGGATCCCACTTTAAATCTGTGTTTTTTTTTGTTTTTGTTTTTTGTTGTTTTTGTTTTTTTTTTAGATTTTATTCATTTGTTTGAGACAGACAGAGATAGTGCCTGAAATAGTACAAGCAGGGAGGAGAGGGAGAAGCAGGCTCCCTGGTGAGCAGGGAGCCCAATGTGGGGCTGGATTCCAGGACTCTGGGATCATGACCTGAACTACAGGCAGATGCTTTACTGACTGAGACACCCAGGTGCCCCCTTAAATCAGTTTAATCAGAATCTTTGATGTGATCTCTTTTAAAAAGCACTCCAGCGGGCAGCCCCGGTGGCCCAGCGGCTTGGTGCTGCCTTCAGCCCAGGGCGTGATCCTGGGGACCCGGGATCGAGTCCCGCGTCAGGCTCCCTGAGTGGAGCCTGCTTCTCCCTCCTCCCTCTGCCTATTTCTCTGCCTGTTTCTCTGTGTCTCTCATGAATAAATAAATAAAATCTTAAAAAAAAATAAAAAGCACTCCAGATGATTTTAATGTGCAGCCTAAACTCTACAGCATGGTCAGCAAACCTTTTCTGTTAATGACTAGATACTGTAGGCTTTGCAAACATGCAGTCCCTGTTACAACCACCCAGCTCTGCTATTGGAGGGCAAATGGCCTAGGCAGTACACAAATGGATGAGTATGGCTGTGTTCCAATAAATATTTATAAAACAGGTTGGAGTCCTGATTTGGCTTGCAGGTATCATTGGCTAACCCCTGCTCTAGGCTAATTCATCTTCAAGGACCCATCAGGCTCATGGTGTTTACAAGGACTTTAAGAAGTAATGTGTGCCTCCGTTCACAGATACTTGAAAAGTTTCTGTTCAAAAGGCTAATTATCCCCTCCTAAACTGGGACGTTGCAATTTTATGATCACCAGAAATCAAGGTAATCCCGTCTCCTTTTTAGTCATTACAAAAAATACTGTAACAGCAAGAACATAATATGTTAACTAAATGCAAGGTGTCCCTGGTCAGCTGTCCTGGTCTCCCCAGGACATCTTCTCTAGATTTAAAGAACAGTGGGAAGCCATTTGGATGTTAGTGATGGTAAAATGATCAGATTTGGGTTTTTAAGAGAACACTCAAAGTTACAGTGTGGAGGAAAGAGGGAAGAGGGCAAGAGGATGCAGGAAGACAGGTTAGAAGTCTGCTACAGGGGCACTTGGTTGTGGGCTTAGTGGTTGTGCATCTGCCTTTGGCTCAGGTCAGGGTCCTGGAATCGAGTCCTGCATCAGGCTCCCTGGGGGGAACCTGCTTCTCCCTCTGCCTATGTCTTTGCTTCTCTCTATGTCTCTCATGAATCAATAAAATTAAAAAAAAAAAAAGTCTGCTACAGAAGTCCAGGTGAGAGATTGTAGCAGCTTGCACTAAGTAAAGATCAAATGCAAAGAGGTACATGGGTCCTAGCAATATCTTGAAAAGTGGAATAGCTGAGACTGAGTGATGGATTGGTGGGAGGAGGGGGTGGAGTTAGAGGAGAGTAAAAGTTCAGTTTTGGACAAGTTGAGCTTGATGTCCCATTGAGACATCTAAGGAAATATGTCAGGAAAGCAGTGGGTACAGAAGTCTGGATCTCAAGAGAGAAGGCTGGACAACAACTTCTACCAGGTGACCCTAAGAGTCAGGAGGGGTTTAAAGACCAGTAGGCAGGCAAGGAGTTTATAGCACACCCCAGTTTTGGATAGCTGATTGCCCTTTTTTTTTTTTGGTATTGGGAGCACTTTTTCTTGGTATGAAAACTCATTTATTGGAGGTAAAAGGTAAAGTGTCAACAGTAAGCAGCGTACTGGAGAGAAAAAGTCAGAGGTATATATTTAACATTAAGGCAAGTCTCTTTGCTTTAGGAAATTTCTAAGGAGTTTGCAGTGCCTGGTACATTCAGATGTTTGTTGAGTGCCTGCCTTAAATATTTTTCCTGGAATTGCCCCAATCTAGGATAGGAATTATGAAGCCTCACTGTCCCCTTGTAGTCCAACCTTTACCGGTTACCACTTTGTCGAAACTGGATGGAGTTAGCTCTTTTGGGAAATATGACACAATTCCCAACAAACTTGAGGCTCTTAGCGACTGCCTGGGCATCTGTTGCTTTACCATTGAAATGCTGCCACCTTCCAGATAGGGTGTGACAAGTAGCCAGCAGCTGTGGCCAGCTTCCTGAGAGTGGGGAACCAGAGGGAACCCTGCCAGCCCAGCCCTGCTGTAGTCAAAAGCAGGAATTCAAGCCCCTGGGGGGCAGCTGCCTTCCTATACAGGGTCTAATCCAACCCTGTTTGGACCCAACCAGGTTCAACAGACTACTGGGAAATGACATATAATACTCTCCCTGACCTTTGGGAAGTGGGTCACGGCATTAAACTGGCCTGATCTCTTCTGTGACAGGGTGCTCTTTGATCCTGAGATTCCTTGCTTGTTGTGGGCATTGAGAACAATTTTTAAGATTTCTTCTCTGGTCTCACAGCAGACTTTACTCTGTTTTGTTTGGTCTTAGAGGTTTGGCACAACCTTAGTCCAGGGTGAGACTGAGGCTTCCATTCCATGGGAGACCAGAAGTTTCCCTTCCCACAGTAAGACCTGGCATTGATGAGGTGGGTTGGAGGGGACAACATGGGAAGGGACAGTAGTTACCCCCCCCCAAAGGTAGCTCCATTCTCTTCATCTTCCAAGTCAGTTTTAACTATTTCTGCATGTAAAGGTTTTAAGATTCATTTTTTCACTTGCCCACTGCCCTGACCCAAGCTTCACAGAGGTCCTTTCTTCTTGTTCCTGCCTCATCACACTCTTCTCCACACACCCGAGTTATCCTAAAATGCATCCCTGAGTAGGATCCTGTGCTCTGATATCTCAAAGGTTGGGCCCCTGTTTGGCTAAGTCGATTAAGTGTCTGCCTTCGGCTCAGGTCATGATCCTGGGGTCCTGGGATCGAATCCCACATCCTGCTCAGCAGGAAATCTGCTTCTCCCTCTACTCCCCACTGCTCATGCTCTCTTTCTCTCTCTCTCTCTCTCTCAAAGTCTGAAAGAAAGAAAGAAAGAAAGAAAGAAAGAAAGAAAGAAAGAAAGAAAAAGAGAAAGAA